CCACTGGTGTGTGTGAATAATGTGTGTGTGTGTGTGTGCAGGTTCGGTGTGTACGTGCCGCTGGTCTGCTTCCACCAGGAGTCTCGGTCCCCGTCGGACTGCGTGTTCTCGGAGCCGGACGGGTCTGATGTTCCTCTGAGACCCAAACCGTTCCTGGAACTCCTGCGGGAACACCTGCGGGATCAGCTCTGTGGCCCCGCCCCCATCCCCGCACACTCCTGCCCCCCCACCCCCCCGTCGCCGGACCGGATCCGCTCCGAAGTCCAGCAGCTCAAAACCGACTTCAACCGCCGCATCAAAGAAGTGCTGTTCAACTCGCTGTTCAGTGCGTATTATGTGGCCTTCCTCCCGCTGTGCTTCGTCAAGGTGAGCGCCGGCCTCAACGAGTCTATAGACCATTTCACAAGATGTAAACAACACTGGTCCAGAAGCACTTCCTGTTTCAGTTTGTAACTGTTTTCTTTATTTCACATGTAAAGGAAACATCTTAAAGACGTTTGTTTAACTTTTTGATTCAGTTTTAAATGTTCTGTTGGTTGTATTTTATCCCAGATTTTATGTAGTGTTAAAAAACTGAAACAGGAAGTGCTTCTGGACCAGTGTTGTTTACATCTTGTGAAATGGTCTATGTAAGCCTGACCCTCGTCCTGTTTCGAGTCTATATAACCCTGAATAAACAACTAAAACACTGTATTCTGCTGCCAGGACATTAGATGGGGATTAAACACTATAGACTAAACGCATGATATGGGCTTGACGTCATCGTTTTCAGAGATTTGCAGTGTGACGTTTGCATGCTGTTTTCCAGAGTACGCAGTACTACGACATGCGCTGGTCCTGCGAGCACCTGATCATGGTGTGGATCAACGCCTTCGTGATGCTGATGAGCCAGTTGCTGCCGCCCCGGTACTGCGACCTTCTGCATCGCTCCGCAGCGCACCTGGGCCGATGGCAGAGGCTCGAACCCGGCTCCGGCAGCAACGCCCCGCAGCACATGTGAGCGCTCGCACCATCTCATCTCATCTCACACTGGCTGAACACTTCTCTTCGTTTGGCGATGTCACTTTGTGAAGACACGCCTGCGCACATATATATATTCAAACACACTAATCTATAGACTAAACACGTGATGCACATGTGCACGCCGTCAGCGCTTCACAGATTCATGTTTTTGAAGTTTCGTCGGAGATGATCATGTGTTTAAAACTTGCTCCTTGGATCCTGTTTCAGAGTGTGTGTTCTCGAGCTCAAACACTGTGTGTGTGTGTGTGTGTGTGAACGGCCGGAGCACACTAAAGTTTCTGTGTTCTGTAGAGCGGTGTCATGTTAGCGGCTGCTCAGTTAATCACTAATGATCTTTACGACGGAAGTGAATCAATCAAAACTAACTTTATCTGCACAATAACTTTATTCTAGATCTGCTCTCTGTGACTGTAATCTCCTGTTAGCACTGTAAAGCTGCTGTGAGACTCTATAGTGTTAAAGCACTGTATAAATGAGTGTGTGTGTGTGTGTGTGTGTGTGCAGCTGGTCCGACAGCACCATCTGGCCACAGGGAGTTCTGGTCCGGCACAGTCGCTGCCTCTATAAGGCCGTCGGTCCGTGTAACGTGGCCTTGCCCTCCGACGTCTCGCACGCCCGGTTCTATGTGAGTATCTGTCACTCCTCACCTTTACTTATGATGGAGTGAGTGTGTGAGAGAGAGAGAGTGTGTGAGTGAGCGAGAGAGAGGGAGTGTGTGAGTGAGCGAGAGAGAGGGAGTGTGTGAGTGAGCGAGAGAGGGAGTGTGAGAGAGAGGGAGTGAGAGAGAGAGTGTGTGAGTGAGCGAGAGAGAGAGTGTCAGAGTGAGATTTCCTTGAATTCCCGTGAGTGAGAAGTCATTCCAAAAATCATGGCAACAGACGTTGGTAGGTTTATATCACAGCCATGCGCTGCACTAGACCGACATTATTATTATTAATGGAAGGAGACGTGTGTGTGTGTGTGTGTGTGTGATCCAAGCGTTAATGGCAGGGAAAAACAGAGTTCCTAGTGTTTCTCCTCATTTCTGCTCCGAGGTTTAGAGTCCAGAAGGCTATTCCTGTAATTATTGTTTCTTTTATGAATTGAATAAAGAACTCTGTCTCGTATGTCCACTCCAAACAGTCCGTGTACTTGCATTCATTTTCCCTTATTTTACCCGTAATTGCAAAGCAAAAATGAACGGTTGTTGTATTTTTAAAACGCAAAGTTGAACACCAACATTTTACTATACAACAAATGCTGCGCAAAATAAATAAATAAATATATATATATATATATATATATATAATATTTACAAATTAATATGGAAAAAAATGTTTTCTAAAGCCAAATTAGAACCTGGAAATTATATTTTTCCCGCGTCTGAGAGCCGTATCCACAGCCGACAGAAAGGTTATGTATAGGGGAGTTATAAAGGCTATAATAAATGTGTCTGAAAAAATAACGACGCATTTTAATTGATTATTAATAAACTAATGTTTTCCTATATCAGTGTCGGCTAAAAACATATCTGCATCTCTGCACATTTCGTACGGATTACAGAATCAGAAGTTAGTTTTAAAGTGCATTTCCAGCTTTAGCCTGCGGAGGCGATATTTGGTTTCAGTTCTCGCGCTTCAGTTCACAAAGATCATGAAACCATGCCTGATTGTTTTATTTTATTTTACAAAAGCACAACGTTTTCTTGTTATTGTGACATTACGCAAATAAAAGTAGTTGTGAAATAAAAGTATTATTTTCTGTATGACCATAAATGATAGAGTATTTTAAGTTGTTTCCACTGTTATAGGAAACTGCGAGTGATCATCCCTGCCGTCCAGTGCGTTCACACACACACACACACACACACACACTTGGATGCGTTAAAATCTTGTGTTTATTTGTGATAATCTTAGCTCTAATATTATTATTGTCCTACCTGTATCATGAATGAACAAGAGTGTGTTGTAGACTCGTGTTTTCGCTGTCAGTTTCCCCTTTTTCTAACTGGTTCGGAACTGGTGCTGGTTAAAGTTGGTTGAACTTGCGAACCGCTTCAGAACCTGTTTGTTTTTCCACTGACTAGAGCGCCCAGGGAACGACGTCGTTACGTCACTGTGTACGTCGCCATACGTCTTAGCTAGAAACGCTTGCAAGTACAACATTACTTTGGGATCATCTCTAACTCGTGTACCAAGAAGGGTTTAAAAACTATCGAAATATACAAGTCTTTTAATCTTTTCGTTTGATATGTAATCTTTTCTGATAAGTTATGTACCCCCGTCTTGTGTCTTTTTTTCTTTCCATTTATTTGTTCTATATTGTGACTTCTTTTTTGCTTATAATGTCTTCAATAAAAAAATTACAAAAATAGAAACGCTTGCGTTACAATTACAAAGGCGGACTCCATCGTGTTTCTGCAAATGTTTCTCTTGGATTTCTGATCCTTTATTATGGTCAGAAAAGATGTTTTTAGGACACATCTAAACCCGCTCCAGCCCCCGACGTAAGCATGACGTGGTAAAAGAACGATTCTAGTCCAGCAAAGAGTTGGTGCCGCTTTGGAACCGGTTCTCCTGGCCGTCGGCACCGGCTCCGAACCGGCTCTCAAAATGGTTTGGTGGGAAAGGGCTAGTGTGTGACGCTCAAACCTGCGGCCGATTGTAACCCTTTCACTGGTCATCATCATGTCAATCCCCATCCATGACGGATATGAACTTCTCTTGCCTGATCGAGCGGACCAATGAAACGGCTGCGTTTGGGGAAAGGGTTAAACATCAGTTGTTTGTCACTGATCTGATCGGTCCGATCTGACTGTGTGTGTGTGTGTGTGTGTGTGTAATGATCCAGTCTCTGAAGAGTGTCTTTGTTCGTGTGTTCAGAAGTTCTGCTCATGTTTAACCGGATCTTCAGTTCCTCTCGCTGACTAATGCTTGTGTTTTCCTCGGCCCAGTTCCTGTTCCACAAGCCGCTGCGGATCCTGAACCTGCTGATCGGGATCGAGTCGAGTGTGGTTCTGTACCAGCTGTACTCGCTGCTGCGGTCCGAGCGCTGGAACCACACGCTCTCGCTCGGACTCATCCTGTTCTGCAACTACTACGTGCTGTTCAAGCTCCTGCGAGACCGGCTGGTTCTGGGCAAGGCGTACTCGTACCCGCCGGGCCACGGCCTGCCCGTCAAGACGCCCTGAGACTCTCGCTTTTGATATCGTCTGTTTTCATGCAACCTTTGTATCTATTTAATAAAATAGTTTATTTTGTATACTGTTACACACGAAGACTAGAAGACGGGCGTTTACGGCGCGATGGCGTATCCAGGCGTCGATGTTTAGTCGCCCGCGTCTGAATTCTGCCAAAGATAGAAAAAAAAGAAAAAAAAACTGGAAGAGCTAATGCTGGCCAATCACGAGGACGGACGGGGCGGTCCGGTTCATCGCCAACGCTGGACGGTCACGTACACTCTTCAGTATTATCTGCTCTGAGCATCTCGAGTGTCCACTTGGTTTCAATCCGTCTCTGTAGAGAAACTTCCCCGTCAGGATCTGTTTTAAAGCTGGAGCGATCCGCATCTCCATTTGCTGTTCATGTTAACTCTGTGCCAAATCCCAGGGGGCTGTGGGGCATCGGGAGTGGGCGTGGTCACGTGAGCTGTGGGCGGAGCCATGCACTGTTAAGCTTGCAGTATTTTATAAAACCGCTTTTGTTTCAAAGGTGTAAGGACATCCAGAATAAATGAGTGAAGCAGCTCTAATGCCCATGATGATCTGCACTAAACTCATGTCGGGTCAAGCTTCCCTGCAAGGTCCATCAGGAAGATCAAGCCTTTTTTTGACATTATGATAATATGTTTGGTTTGCTTATTATCAAATTCTCTTTATTTTAATTGGAAATTAGCTTAATTTCAAAGTAAGAAAAGCCTTAAAAAACATGATCTGTTTCCTTATGATTTTCATGTGAAATATGTTCTCGACAAGCGTTACGATTTTTCTGCCTCTGATGTCTAATCTGCAGTTCCAGCAGCCGTCTCTCATACTCACTGGTGCTATTTTTTAGCAAAAGCTTTTAATGTGTTGTAACAGAGGACATTAAAACTCTGAAAGTAATTAGTGTCATTGAATGATTATCCACTGGTTTACAGTATGTGTGTGTGTGTGTGTGTGTGTGTGTGTGTGTGTGTGGAGATCTGCAAAACCGTCTCTCACCACCAGAGGGAAACACAGGATCTCGTACAGTAGTTCTCAGACATAAGCAGAAACATTAGCATTTCCATTCAAACATCAGTAGAGAAAACCAGTCCTTCACCAGTGCCTTTCTGTCCCAGTCCTTTTCTGTCCCAGTCCTTCACCAGTGCCTTTCTGTCCCAGTCCTTTTCTGTCCCAGTCCTTCACCAGTGCCTTTCTGTCCCAGTCCTTCACCAGTGTCCGTCCAGAACATCTTCCTCTAATGGTTACACTTTATATCAGGTGTCTTTATGTACTTGCATAATAATAATTGTTAGGGTTCAATGTTTGTGTTGTGTTTCAGACACTCTTGAGGTGGGATGCGGGGAACAAGAGTACGGGTAAGGTCAAAGGTCAACAGCAATTACATGTAGGCAGTTTTAAAATGGAAATACCTTGTATGAACACAATTGCATGGTATCAAATGATTAATGTAAATGCAAGTACTTGCACTAGTAGTTAAAGACACTTCAAATAAAGTGGGTCTCCTTTAGTTTGTCTTAAAATCAGGCACTCATAAAACATACTATATTATAATGAAAACAGTTTAAATGGACATTAATGGAAAAACATTCTTTGGCACAACCTTCCTTTTGTACTAGAATGGCTTAAAGGGATAGTTCACCCAAAAATGAAAATGATCCCATGATTTACAGGCCGTCTGCCGGAAGCTGGTTATTATAGTCGATTACGTTTTAAATGTGGATATTTTTCTTACACAAACTTATCGCTTCACTTCAGAAGGCCTTTATTAATCTCTAGTAGCCTGTGGAGCACTTGATGGATTGATGCACTTTGACAGAATCGGCCATTATAAAGCTTGTAAGAGTCAGGACATTTTTTGTCTGAAAGAATGTAATACACATCTAGGATGACTTGAGGGAGAGTAAATCATGGACTAATTTTCATATTTGAGTGAATTATCCCTTTAAGAAGTCTTTAAAAACAGTGTCTTATAGCATGTTGATCTTCAGCATGTTCTTGTATACTGCTGGACTGAAACTCTTCTGCATATGTAAGAGAATCTTCAGTGCTCCTCAACCTTCTCTGCAGTCCACGTAGTTCCCCTTGATCCAGTAGCAGATCTGGGCGTATTTGAGTGGTGTGATGCGCACCGCCACGTTGAACTCCTGAGGCGATCCGCTGAGATCCACCCACTGGTGTCCGGAGAAGATCCCGATGACCTTGCGCTCCCAGCGCTGCCGTGTGCGGCTCCACATGCGGGCGTAGACGCCGGATCCGCTAGCGCCGGGCTGAGCGTCGCAGCGCTGGTACAGCAGGTCGTAGGTCTCGTCCGAAGCCCGGCAGAAGCGGTACACCAGCTGACCTGGCCGGTCGGTGTCGAAGCCGGAGAACTGGACCCGCTTCCCGGGCAGCAGCGCAGCGGAGGGACTGATGCCCAGCTTCATGTGCCGTCGCCGGTGCGCCTTCTTCAGCTCCAGCAGGGCGTAGTCGTAGTCCATGCCGATGTCGTTAGCGGTGCCCTTGATCCAGCCCTTCGGCACGTGTGTGCGCTTCACCCGGATCCACTGGAACTTCATCCGGTCCGGTGTGCCGCTCGTGCCGTTTCTGCCCGCCGGACCGTGTTTCTGCTGCTTCAGGAAGCCGACTCTCAGCCTCTGAGCTCCTTTCACGTAGTTCTTGCCATCGTGGACGCAGTGTGCCGCCGTCAGCACATGTCGTTCACCCACTAGCGTCCCCGAGCACCCGGTCGACAGCTTCACCGCAGTGGAGAACGGGTAGTTTAAGAGGAAGTCCTGCCCTACGATACTGAAGCGGCTGTCGTGGCCAAAGATCTGGCGTTTGGGTCGGGAGCGACTGGCAGGCGTCTGGGTGAAGCTGTTCGCGTCAAACCCGTAGATTCCCACGGCGGTCTGAGTTAGCCTGCCACTGGAGTACAGCGTCTCATAGGACAAGCGGAGCCGCAGGGCCGAGTCGCTGGGTGGAGCCGCTCGCCGGTGGCAGGCCGGCCCGCAGGAAGTGTTGAGCTCCAGCTGAGGCGCCCGCAGGAAGTGAGGCGGCGCCCGGTCCTCCGTGTGCTGAGCCCAGATCACCGGCACCTGCTGGATGGGCCACTGGGGCCCCGGGGCCGCGCCGGCCGACAGCAGCAGCAGCGCCAGCAGAGCGGGGCTGAGAGAACACGCCATCAGCACACCTGAGAGCAGAGCAGGTAAACATCAGGCACACACGCTGTGAAAGAGCTTTTCCACTGGTCTTTAGTGAGTAAAGGCCCTTGCACACGGAAACTGAAATTTTCGCAGGTAAAAAATAAATACGACCTCAAGTTGACAATCACGCTTGCACACTGCCTCCGTCTTTAAAAAAAATTGGATCAGGTTCGATTTTCTGCTTTTATCGCATCCGTATCAAGCCTCTTAAATGTTTTTTTTTTAATGTGTGCGAGGGCCTTAATGTTGCAGTTTTGCAGTCCTAGACAACTCAACTCTCCTGTGCCAAAGGTCAAAGGTCTCACTGCTGTTTAGGCGAATCATGTAAACGCGTTTAATCTTCCAGCCGTGTGCGTTACTGCGGCTTCTGGGACTCTCTTTATTCACCAGGGACAGAATCCATGGAAATATTTCTGAAGGATGAGTGTGAGAAAATGTCCGCTTCCATGACAGCCATGAAAACAGCAGCAATCACTATGGTTACTAAACACACAGGATTCTGATACACAGACCCAGAACTAGATTAGAAACAGCATCTCTAATGAGATGATCGTGATTTACACACACACACACACACACACACACACACTGTGAAAAATGATATGATCAAAGTTATGACATGTTTTTACATTGCTTTAACTCATCAAAATAAACTTTTTTAAATATAAGTTAAACAAGATTCAACTCTTCTTTTTGTCAGTTTAATGTAATTTAAATTGAAATTACTTAAACATCCAAGTTCATTGTACTACAAAGTTTAAGCGAGTGTCAGGTGAATGTGGTGAATGTTCCGAGTGGAAGTGATTCTCACCTGTGCGCGCGCGCGGATATTAAACCGATGATTGGAGTCGAACGCGAGCAGTGTTTCAGGGCATGGAGGAGATCCGGCAGTGTTTACATCTCTCCTCTGTCTGCTGAGTTCTGTTAGGTTCTGCTCGGGCTCCGCGAGTGAATGTCCGTGGGCGCGCAGCTCGTGCCCGAGACTCCTCCGATCACGTGACTCGAGATAAAGAGTCTTCAGATGATCCGCGGATATTCTGCGTGTTTATTTTATGATCTATTGCAATAATTCGCCTGGAAAACCCACTGACTGGGTTTGAGTGCTTATAATGACATTAATCTTTCATTTCTTCAATCAGTCTTTCTTTGTCACTGTGTATTTTAATGAATTTACCTGTGTTAAATGTAAATTAACGTAAGCCAAAATTGTTTTATTTTTATTTACATTGTACAAAATGTGTCTTTAATGTATTTAGTGTATGATGTAACGAGTACATCAGGATTTAAGGGAAGTGTTTCCCAGTTCCGGCTGAAACTAATCTATGCATTAACATTAATCCTGTTTTACTGCAGCAGTGTGAATGTGTGTGTGTGTGTGTGTGTGTGTGTGTGTGTGAATGTGTGTGTGTAGAGCAGAGCAGGAGTGGGAGAGCCGGGCATGACGTCACATGGGACACCTGTCAATCATAGGTCAAGTCAAGTCCATTTATATTTAACTTTTCACAATATAGATTGCATCAAAGCAGCTTCACAGTATCAATCAAAACATAATAACAATGTTCATTTAGAGGGTGGAAAAACATCCACTTTTGGTAGAGCTGATCAAGGGTATTATTGATTGGTTAACTAATTTGAATATCCCCGAGCAAGCTGAAGGCAACAGTGGCCAGGAACTGACAAACTTCATCAGGTGACCCAACGGTGTCCAAAAACTCCATCAGGTGACCCAACGGTGTCCTAAAACTCCATCAGGTGACCCCAAAACTCCATCAGGTGACCCAACGATGTTCTAAACTCCATCAGGTGACCCAACGGTGTCCTAAAACTCCATCAGGTGACCCAACGGTGTCCCAAAACTCCATCAGGTGACCCAACGATGTTCTAAACTCCATCAGGTGACCCAACGGTGTCCTAAAACTCCATCAGGTGACCCAACGGTGTCCAAAAACTCCATCAGGTGACCCAACGGTGTCCTAAAACTCCATCAGGTGACCCCAAAACTCCATCAGGTGACCCAACGATGTTCTAAACTCCATCAGGTGACCCAACGGTGTCCTAAAACTCCATCAGGTGACCCAACGGTGTCCTAAAACTCCATCAGGTGACCCAACGGTGTCCAAAAACTCCATCAGGTGACCCAACGATGTTCTAAACTCCATCAGGTGACCCAACGGTGTCCTAAAACTCCATCAGGTGACCCAACGGTGTCCAAAAACTCCATCAGGTGACCCAACGATGTTCTAAACTCCATCAGGTGACCCAACGGTGTCCTAAAACTCCATCAGGTGACCCAACGGTGTCCAAAAACTCCATCAGGTGACCCAACGATGTTCTAAACTCCATCAGGTGACCCAACGGTGTCCTAAAACTCCATCAGGTGACCCAACGGTGTCCAAAAACTCCATCAGGTGACCCAACGGTGTCCTAAAACTCCATCAGGTGACCCCAAAACTCCATCAGGTGACCCAACGGTGTTCTAAACTCCATCAGGTGACCCAACGGTGTTGGTATTGAAACACAGCATGGCCGATCTTCATTATCAGCTCAACCTCCACCTGTGAGTACGAGACACTTATCCTCCATCTGAAACAGTTTCTGCTTGCATTGCTTTATTATTTGTTCTCGTATTTCTTAATGCTTTATTTTATTTTTTACAAACGAAAAAGCCCTTGTATATCGTCTACAGTTTGCACAGACACAGCTGTTCGACATGCAGTTGACGACAAAGCACAGTGTGTGAGATACTGTTTCCCAGAATGCAGTGCGCTTGACTTGACCTTCCACTTCCAGTGCTATGAATGAACAGTAACTAACTTGACCCTATTTGATCTGAATAAGATCATGCAAATCATTATTTCCAGAATGATGCAGTGATGAGACAGCAATGTAGCGCCGTACTGAGTCGAAGAGTTTAGTTCAGTGTCTTCAGTGACATTAACAGCATGCGGTGGGCGACTCCGTCTTCAGATGAAAGACTCGTCTGTCTCTCTCAAGACTTCATGTCTGCAGACGCTCCTACGCTGATCTCAGACCAGCTTTCTCTGCACACTTTACCTTTCAGTGTCCAAATGACCTCTGTGTCGATATGTGCAGATGCGGTCCTGTGTGTGCTGTTTATTTAAATGCATTTTAATGCATTTCTGCATTCAGTCATTGATTATCACTGATGGAAACGTGTGAGCGTGAGAAGCGCTGGAGTTGTGCTGAATCTGCTCTGGCACGCACGCCCGAGTGAGGAGGTGAAACATCTGCGTTGGAGATGTGAGAGAGTGGTTAAGACACCTGATGTTTGCCAACTCAATATAAACCGCCTCATGAAGCTGTTTTCCCCACAGATCCATGCCAGAATGATAAACTACTGTGCAAAACAGAATTCCTCTTCTTGTGTGTCTCAAATAAAAGGCCTGTTAATTCACCATTTGCACTTTTGCAGAGTTAGAAATAAGAACATCTGGTTTTTGATCCTGGAAAGCGTGACGTCATTTGTAACGAATCCATGTTTAGAGTTGAGGAATTTACAGGCCGAACCCCCGGCGCTTCCCACGAGAGTCACACACGAGCCCCTGTTCATGAGTTCGGGAGCGCTGAGCTGGACACGGAACAACAAGCCCGTCCAAAACAATCCAAAGCGTGTCACTGACTCAGATGTTCTCCAAGCAAATTCCTCCGGGATTAGTGCAGTGCCAGCAGCGCTCATGCCAGCCGATGAGCACATGAAAACGCCCTGGAGCCAGGCAAACATTTCAGATTTTACTTTAGTTATTTAACAGTATGATGTTTTTATATGCTTAGGAAAAAATGTCTTGATAAAAGTAAAAAAAATAAATAAAAGGTAATAACTCATAAAACATTTGTAAATAAAGCAGCGTTTCCATCCTGTGTGTTCAAGAGAACAAAATCATCAGTTCCTTGGAAATTGGAGAAAAATATCAGTAATTGAAATGTAAGTTATCGCAGTCTTGTTCTTTTGTCCTCCGCCGAGTTGCGGCTCTGAGATCTGTAGATTGGCACGTGAGGCTGTTTGTTGTCAGTTCAGTTCAGGTTGGGTGTTAACTGCATATTTTTATACATTAGTTTTCATATCAATCTAATTTACTCCCCTCATTCCACACTATATAGACCATTTCACAAGATGTAAACAACACTGGTCCAGAAGCACTTCCTGTTTCAGTTTTTTAACACCACATAAAAGCTGGGATAAAATACAACCAACAGAACATTTAAAACTGAATCAAAAAGTTAAACAAACATCTTTAAGATGTTTCTTTACATGTGAAATAAAGAAAACAGTTACAAACTGAAACAGGAAGTGCTTCTGGACCAGTGTTGTTTACATCTTGTGAAATGGTCTATAGCTCAGATGAATGCGTGTATGCAATGTATTTTTCCCCTTGGGGCTTGCCGTAGATGGGTCGTGCGCGCACTTGGTACGGTCGCGTTTTTTGGAGTTTAACTGATGTGAGATAATAAAGTGGAGAAGAGTTCAAACTGCTGTTTATTATTTATTCAAACTGCAAAAAGGTAGGTATGTGATATTATAAGTAACATGGAGCTAACGAAAATAAATAAATAAAAAAAATAACATTGTCAGATTAAGATAAATCTTGAAGCCTTGCGGGAGCTGCCATCTTGTAGCTGAACTTCACTTGCGTTAGCATTCCCATTGACTCCCATTAATTTTGGCGTCACTTTGACAGCGAATAACTTTACATCTGAGGCGTTTGAAGACCCCATTTGTCCTTTATTTATTTCTAAAGAAACACGACAATGTATAAATAGCTCCATTACCTTGTAGCTTATGTTATGGCCCCAGAGAAGCAGTTTTAGTGAAAGTAGGCTAACGATTGCGTCATACCCACGCGACTCTCTGTCGCACAGGAGAGAGATTACTGCTTGATTGTATATTGATGTCTTGTTTGTACCAGCTATTGTTATCCATAAACAAATAAATAAATAAATAAATAAATAAAAAAACAGTAGAGAGATTACCGTATGCACAGGAGGAGAAGCTCGCGCGCAATCGGGGAAACGTGGAGGCAAAATGACTAAATAATTAATCAGAATACCTAGCAGAAGTGTCTCCTTCTCCTCGATCACGGACATCTCCTACTCACACTCTCCGTCTCTCTGCATATTTCAGAAGGGATGATTCATTTTGGGGTGAGCTATTCCTTAAAGTAGAGATCATGTTCCATTAAGATATTTTGTCAGATTTTGAAATAGTTGTATCTCGGGCAAATATTGCCCTATCCTACCAAACCATAAATCAATGAAACGCTTATTTATTCAGCTTTCTCTTGATGTAAATCTCAATTTCAAAAAGTGTACCCATGTGACTGGTTTTGTGGTCCAGGGTCACATTTGTTCCCAGAGCTGTGGTTGATTCACGACAGTGAAAGGACTGTCTTCCTGATCATGAGGACATCAAATCTAATCTCACATAATCAGATCAAAGCAAAGCAACGTAGTTCTCATTGCTCCTGGGGTTTCTGTTTCACAAAGTGCTTATTGTTGCACAGTTTTACAATCCGTTCGTATTATTTAGTTCTGACTGGTCATGGCTTGAGGTGGAAACACACACCTGGAAAACACACTGATTTTACCGTTCAGAGAGCAGTGGGAATGAGTGTGTTGGTGCGGCGATGATTCATCTGAGATCAAACTCAAAAACACTCTCTGATCCAGCCGTCGACATCAGGGCTCAGCGTATAATTATCCATCTGTGTAACGACAGGCATTATTGTGAAGACTATATGGGTTGGAAAATTTAAAAGTTTCTTTTATAAAGCTGACCTACTTATGATTGTTTTCTGAGCACACTGTGACCTGACCATTAAAGTGACATCAATCAAAAGGAGATTTTTGCATGTGCACAATAACTCTAGACATTAACCAGAACCACTGACATGATTACTGCTGTACTTTAATAATATACGTCCCAGAAACAGTGCTTTTAATGTTTATTTTTAGTTGATCTGCTGTCGATCGTCACTGAATTACATCTGGATCCATCATCTCTGGCGTCACAGATGAAGCATCACACGGCGGCTCCGAGCGTCCAATTGCATCTCTGTGGGACTGTTTGAGGTCAGATTCCCGTCTGCACACACACACACACACACACACACACTCGGCAGCGGTCCCGTGCTCCATCGCAGGGAATGTTGGGTGTGGACGGGAGCTTCAGGCCTGAGTCAGACACTTCCTGACAGGATCCGAGTTCCTGAGAGATCCCAGCTGTGTGCGGATTCACACGGACTGACACACACCATCAAACACTGAGCGACGTACGCAGCGGCTGAGACACATGCCTTTGGTGTGAGAGACCCGGGTTCGAATCCACTGTGAGACACTTAACCCCTAGCTGCTGACATATACAGCAGTTGTAAGTCGCTTTGGATAAAAGTGTCGGCTAAATGAATAAATGTAAATGTCTTTCACAGAGTTTTGACATCAATGTTTCTCTCGCCGAGAGCGATTACTGAGGCCAGATCTGGTGTGGTTCCTCCTCCTGAACTGATTCCCACATTAAACTCTGAGGTAGCGTCTTTCTAAAGCCCGGTTAGGATCACTTCACCCTGGATTATGTTTTATTTTCAACAAGAGTTACCCTTGATTGATAACACTTTAGAACATTGTTCCGTCATTCGTGAATAACTTCACAGGAACAAATGAAGAGCGCGAGTGGCATGATAGTAATGTTCAAGGGAAACTCTTCAGGTTTAGTTAGATAATGACTGAAGATAATGGTTTGATCAACTTCATTCTGAATGAATTATTAATAATTTGAATCAGTATTCTGAAGTGGAGATCATGGCATCGACAGGGGCTCAACCTTAAGTTTATCCGGCGATGAGAATACGTTTTGTGCGCAAAAAACAAAGTAATGACTTGTGTCATCAAATCCATCAGAAGCTTTTATTATCTCACAAATACCGCAAAACTTCAATCATTATCGTGCTTTTCACTTTAGAATACTGTTCCAAATAATTAGCAATTCCTTCTGAAGGATTAGGAAACACTAGAGTCGTTAGTGAGTTTCCATGAGCTTCACTTTAGAAGGAATTATATATTGTGAATTATTCACAGTCATGTTGAACCTGAAGCAGTTTTTCCAGTCCTCTGCCAGCCGTGAAGAAATACTGATTAGCTAACAGCGAACTACAGTGCTATTACTTACTAATTCATTAATCAGAGTTTCTTATAGTTCATATTAGAATGTTGATATTGTGTTACTTCCGGTGTAGTTATTGATTAATGATGGAACAGTATTAGTGTTACCCGTTGTTGAATTATGACACTGATGTGAACTGTGAATCAGTGCATTAGTTTAGCTATAGTCATTAGTTTATAGCTATAGTCATTAGTTTAGCTATAGTCATTAGTTTAGCTATAGTCATTAGTTTAGCTATAGTCATTAGTTTAGCTATAGTCATTAGTTTAGCTATAGTCATTAGTTTAGCTATAGTCATTAGTTTAGCTCTAGTCATTAGTTTAGCTATAGTCATTAGTTTAGCTATAGTCATTAGTTTAGCTATAGTCATTAGTTTAGCTCTAGTCATTAGTTTAGCTATAGTCATTAGTTTAGCTATAGTCATTAGTTTAGCTATAATCATTAGTTTAGCTATAGTCATTAGTTTAGCTATAGTCATTAGTTTAGCTCTAGTCATTAGTTTAGCTATAGTCATTAGTTTAGCTATAGTCATTAGTTTAGCTATAATCATTAGTTTAGCTCTAGTCATTAGTTTAGCTATAGTCATTAGTTTAGCGCTAGTCATTAGTTTAGCTATAGTCATTAGTTTAGCTATAGTCATTAGTTTAGCTATAGTCCTAAACTCGCTCTATGCCTTTATTCGCTTCCTCATGAAACACAGGGAAACGCTGGGCTGGAATACTGGTTTGTTTTCCATCATGATTTCCCCCTCATCATCATCATATTTCCTCGATGTGTGTGACCTGCTTCTTCCTCTGATTGTTCTAAATGTCACTGGTTTGTTCATAGTTCACGTGTTTTAGTGTTTTCCAGAAATACGTACGCTGCACTCAGATGATCATGCAGTGAGATTCAGCACTTTAACCCTCCCAGAGGAAGAGCTTTAGAAATGTAACAAATTATCATTATTATTATTACCTCTACCTCTCACGCTCGTGCCCTGGGTTGCTCCTTTGCGCTTGAAGAAGATTAAGGAAAATACCCCAGACAGCACCATGGTGTCGTCGGCCCACATCTGGTCCACATGGACTCCACACGCATCGGATGTGGGCCGACACCAGGCTGCTGTCTGGGGTATTATACGGGTGTCTGCAGCTACAGACTCAATTACAGGAATCAGTTCCGTCAGTTTGATGGTGGACTGGAATAAGTGCTGGAATGGGAACGCTCTGCTATCATGAACTCAGCGCGAGCGTCTGCCAGTGAAACACCACAGCACTTTCTTCTGAGTGTGGATTTACAGACAAATGAGACTATTTATTTATAGTTGACTGTAATTACCTATTTCATTCTCTGTTTCAACTTCTGATCTGATCTTCATAAACCATAGAAATGGCGGCTCTTATTTTCAGCGTTCACATGATGTTGTAGAAATAAACACGTGAATCAGCTCAGCTTTGCAGCGAATGCTGGCTGTTCCTCAACATCACTGAAATTCACCCGATAGTTTTGAAACGCTGGAATCCATCAATAAGAGGCAAACATGCCAGGAAATGTCCCTTAAGATTATTCACAGAAACACCCACTGACATGGAAAACGAGGGGAGGAGAAGGAGTGAAGGCCGAGGGAAGGGACGAGACTGGTTCATGCTGGTCTATCTAGTGTGTGTGTGTGTTTCTCCTCAACCTCATGAGTCACTTATGTCTCCTGCGGTTCATGATGTCACAGTCAACCGTCGTGATGTCAGAGTCTCCATGTAATCAGAGTGTGTGATTTGACATCTGACCTCATAGAGACGAATGTTGTTTTACCACCTGCAACAGCGGTTAGGGTTAGGTTTGGTTGTTGGTTTATGTTGTTTTATGTTGGTTTGTTGTTGGTTTGTGTTGGTTTGATGTTGTTTTATGTTGATCTGTGTTGGTTTATGTTGGTTTGTTGTTGGTTTATGTTGGTTTGTTGTTGGTTTGATGTTGTTTTATGTTGGTTTGTTGTTGGTTTGTGTTGGTTTCATGTTGGTTTGTGTTGGTTTGTTGTTGGTTTGATGTTGGTTTGTTGTTGGTTTGATGTTGGTTTGTGTTGGTTTCATGTTGGTTTGTGTTGGTTTGTTGTTGTTTGTGTTGGTTTGTTGTTGGTTTGATGTTGGTTTGTGTTGGTTTGATGTTGGTTTGTGTTGGTTTGATGTTGGTTTGTGTTGGTTTGTTGTTGGTTTGATGTTGGTTTGTTGTTGGTTTGATGTTGTTTTATGTTGGTTTATGTTGGTTTATGTTGGTTTGTTGTTGGTTTATGTTGGTTTGTTGTTGGTTTGATGTTGTTTTATGTTGGTTTATGTTGGTTTGTTGTTGGTTTATGTTGGTTTGTTGTTGGTTTGATGTTGTTTTATGTTGGTTTATGTTGGTTTATGTTGGTTTGTTGTTGGTTTATGTTGGTTTGTTGTTGGTTTGATGTTGGTTTGTGTTGGTTTGATGTTGGTTTGTGTTGGTTTGATGTTGGTTTGTGTTGGTTTGTTGTTGGTTTGATGTTGGTTTGTTGTTGGTTTGTGTTGGTTTGATGTTGTTTTATGTTGATCTGTGTTGGTTTATGTTGGTTTGTTGTTGGTTTATGTTGGTTTGTTGTTGGTTTGATGTTGTTTTATGTTGGTTTATGTTGGTTTGTTGTTGGTTTATGTTGGTTTGTTGTTGGTTTGATGTTGGTTTGTGTTGGTTTGATGTTGGTTTGTGTTGGTTTGATGTTGGTTTGTGTTGGTTTGTTGTTGGTTTGTGTTGGTTTGATGTTGGTTTGTTGATTTGTGTTGGTGTATGTTGGTTTATGTTGGTTTATGCTCAGGTTTCCGGTTGAAGGGCACGCTGGCGCGTTTGGCTGCCGCTCCTCTCTCCCATTTTTATTTTTAATTGTTTTTATTTTGGCTATGAGCCAGTAAAGTCTATCTGTGTTTTGTATTTTTTTCACTTTCTACCGTGATGTGGAATTATGCTTCGCACGCTGGACTACTGCTTCTATCTCTGAGTGCTGTTTACTGGAATTTACTCTTCTGTTGCTTGGCCCAAGACGTACACTGCTTACACCGCTGTGAGGCTGCTGTTGGTGTGGACCTTCCCCAAATGGCTATCAGGTACACTGCTCGCCAGTTGTTGAACCTGAACAGACGTTTTGATACAGCGAATGATATACGAGCTCTCTGCAGTCATGTTGGAATACTGCGACCTAAGCGCTACATACATCGCTCTTCAAGGCGTAGTTTTTTAAGCTCAACATCTAAATCTGTCGCTTATCCGAGATTTCTGCGTGAACCCCATAGACTGCCGTTTAGACCTACAGGGGTTAATTTCAATAACTTATCAGCATTCAGGCGTGATGAGGTTGCATCGGATACATCGGCTCCCCCGCGTCTGCTGAAATCAGCACTGTTTAACGCGCGCTCGGTCAACAACAAAGCTGTTCTTTTATCTGACATTATTTTAGAAAAAAAGCTGGACCTTTTCTGTTTAACTGAAACTTGGCACAAAGAATCTGACGGTCTTCTTTTTAATGAACTGACTCCTGCTGGCTATGGATTATTTGATCTCCCACGTTCTTCTGGTAGAGGTGGGGGTATCATCGTGCTGCACAGTCTAAAGTTCAACTTGTGTCCCGTGGCTGCTCCCAAATTTGCCTCATTTGAATGTCTTGTTCTGAGTGTCTCTACGCCCCTTCCGACTGCAGTGGCTACAGTCTACAAGCCTCCTAAGACTAATAAAGACTTTCTATCTGAATTATCAGATATGTTGTCTTTTCTCTTCCTCAGATTTGAAAGAATTCTTTTACTGGGGGATTTCAACATTCATATGGACATAAAGGACTCCGCAATAACAAAAGACTTTCTGTCCATATTGGAGTGCTTTGAATTAGACCAACTAGTAGACTGTCCTACGCATGACAAAGGCCACACCTTAGACCTTGTGATTTCCAGTGGTTCATTTGTGACTCAGTTAACTACCACTGATTTAGGTCTGTCTGATCACCGGGCTGTCATTTTTAATTTGGAATTACCTGTCATGTATACAAACACTTCACGCATTATAAATTATAGGAATTGGAGATCTATTGAGCCCTCTGATTTTTCTGATTTTATTGACTCTCTTTTAAACTGTGACTCTCTATCTGATGATCTGGATGACAATGTTTCAATGCTGAATTCTGTACTGTTGTCTGGCCTGGATACGCTGGCTCCCTGGAAATCACGATCTGTTTCTTTTGCACGCTCTGCTCCTTGGTACAATGATGATCTGCGTGCCATGAAGACTTTGTGTCGCAAAATGGAGCGTAGATGGCGCACCTCAGGTTTAGCTGTTCATCACCAGGCCTGGAAAGACAGCTTATTCAAATATAAGTCTGAAATTGTGTCAGCAAGATCTGTTTATCTTTCTCATATAATTCTCAGCAATCAGAGAAACCCCAAAAAACTGTTTCACTCAATTAACAAGCTGCTTAAAAATCACAGAGTCTCTAATGTTCCTGCTTCAACTCACCTTTGTAATATGTTTTTGGAGTTTTTTAGCACCAAAATTGACAATATTCGAAACCACATTGTTGCCACTCATACCATTGCTGCCTCCTCTTCAGATACATTTGCATTTTCTGGTGTCTCGCTCTCTAATTTTGCAATTCATGATTCCCAGTCTCTGTGTAATACGGTTTCAAAACTGAAAGCCTCAACTTCTAGAGTTGATCCTATACCAGCTTGCCTTTTTAAATCATGTTTTGATTCCCTCTCTCCCTTTGTTTTGAGAATTATCAATAACTCCCTGTGCACTGGTGTTGTGCCAGCTGCACTTAAAACTGCTGCTGTCACCCCTGTACCAAAAACTAACAACACGGACTTTGATAATCTGAATAATTTTCGACCCATCTCTAATCTTCCATTCCTCGCCAAAATTTTAGAACAAACAGTGGCTTCTCAACTACTGTCTCATCTTTCTGCTAATGATCTTTTTGAGCCACTTCAGTCTGGATTTCGGAAACTGCACAGCACTGAGACAGCACTGGTCAAAGTGACTAATGATTTGTTAATGGCATCTGATTCTGGCCGTCTATCTATACTGATTCTTCTTGATCTTAGTGCCGCTTTTGACACTATAGATCATTCGATTTTAATCAATCGCTTAGAGACCATTTTTGGAGTTTCTGATTATGCATTAAATTGGTTTAAGTCCTATCTCTCTGATCGCAAGCAGTTTGTTGTGATGGGTGATTACAAGTCCGAGGTCGGTGTGGTGCGCTCTGGTGTTCCCCAGGGATCAGTTTTGGGCCCGTTACTTTTTAGTATTTACATTTTTCCATTTGGGCAACTTTTAAGAACTCTTGGTCTTAATTTTCACTTTTATGCCGATGACACTCAGATCTATTTACATTCAAAACCTGATATCAATATGCCTGTGTCTTATATTTCTCAGTGTTTTACTGAGATTAGGAAATGGATGTCTGAAAACTTTCTCTGTCTGAACAGTGATAAGACTGAAGTGATGCTTATTGGTTCACCTCATCAGTTGCGTAAAGCAGAGTCCATAACTTTAAGTATGGATGGCTCAGCTTTGAAATTACAAACTAAACTAAAAAATCTGGGGGTAATATTTGACGCCAATTTAACATTTGACCATCATGTTCGTAACACAGTCAAAACATCATTTTTTCATCTCAGAAACATTGCCAAATTACGTTCTTTGTTGACATTCTCTGTGGCTGAAAAGTTAATCAATACTTTTGTTTTTTCAAGAATTGATTATTGTAATGCTTTGCTGGCTGGGGTTTCTAAAGCTACCCTAAGTAAATTACAGTTGGTTCAAAATTCGGCTGCTAGAATTCTGACTGGGACCAGTGCAAGGGAACACATTACACCAATCCTGGAAAAATTGCACTGGCTTCCAGTCAGTTTTCGTATTGATTTTAAAATTCTCATGCTCACTTATAAGGCCCTGAATAACTTGGCCCCTCAATATTTGCGTGAGCTCTTAACCCCCTACTCTCCTACACGTGCTTTGCGATCTTCTGAAGCTGGTCTTTTAACCGTCCAAACAACACGGCTAAAAACTATGGGTGATCGGGCTTTTTCTTCTTTAGCTCCAAAATTGTGGAATTCCCTGCCCTCTGAGATTAGAAATGCAGAATCACTTAGAGTTTTTAAATCCTCCCTTAAAACGTACTTTTTTAGGGTGGCTTTTATGTGACTGTGTGATCACTGTGATTGTTATTTTATTTGCCTTTTATTTTATTGCTTGTTTAGTTCTTATTGCCTAGACTGTTGTGTCTGTCTAATTCCATTATTTTTTATGTAAAGTGCTTTGAGATACTACTTTTAAAGGCACTATATAAAATAAAGTTTTATTATTATTATTATTATTATGTTGGTTTGTTGTTGGTTTGTGTTGGTTTGTGTTGGTTTGATGTTGGTTTGTGTTGGTTTGATGTTGGTTTATGTTGATTTGTGTTGGTTTATGTTGGTTTATGTTGGTTTGTTGTTGGTTTGTGTTGGTTTGTTGTTGGTTTGATGTTGGTTTGTGTTGGTTTGATGTTGGTTTGTGTTGGTTTGATGTTGGTTTGTGTTTGTTTATGTTGATTTGTGTTGGTGTATGTTGGTTTATGTTGGTTTGTTGTTGGTTTGATGTTGGTTTGTGTTGGTTTGATGTTGGTTTGTGTTGGTTTGTTGTTGGTTTGTGTTGGTTTGTGTTGGTTGATGTTGGTTTATGTTGGTTTATGTTGGTTTGTTGTTGGTTTGATGTTGGTTTGTGTTGGTTTGATGTTGGTTTATGTTGATTTGTGTTGGTTTATGTTGGTTTGTGGTTGGTTTATGTTGGTTTGTGTTGGTTTGATGTTGATTTGTGTTGGTTTATGTTGGTTTGATGTTGGTTTGTTGTTGGTTTGATGTTGGTTTGTGTTGGTTTGATGTTGATTTGTGTTGGTTTATGTTGGTTTGATGTTGGTTTATGTTGGTTTGATGTTGGTTTGTGTTGGTTGATGTTGGTTTGTTGTTGGTTTGATGTTGGTTTGTGTTGGTTTGATGGCCTCTTCTGTGTGTGTGAACATCTGGAATCAAGGCTGGACTCTGGCTGGAGTGTTGCTCAATAAATGTGGGATATCAGTTTGATCTGAGTCTTGGGAAAGTGGAACAGCTGTGCACACGCTTCACATTCACGCTACGTTTACATCATTCTCTCCCAGCAGAGCGAGGAAATGAACATGCTCTCAGTGAAGAGGTACAATACTGGAACTCTGGAATACAGGAACAATAAATCAATAATTGAATAAGTGATATTCTATGACTCGTGTAAAGGCGGGACAGACGATAGCCATGTTAACTGTCTGATTGCCAACATTCTTCAAACTATCTCCTTTTGTGTTCTCTTACAGGTTTGGACCAACATAAGGGTGAGTAAATGATGAACAATCCCTTTAATAATGTATAATAATATTTGAGCTCAAATTAAGACAAACATGTTGAATCATATGTAAATAGACATACATCATCCGTACTAAAGCTCACTGACATTACACTGCACACATAAACGCTCAACCTCATCTAACAACGTTATACGCCGTTAAATATGAACTAATGGAGTTTATGGCACATGCAGGACGTTCATCTGCGGTCGGGTCGAGTGCTCAGTCACGGCAATGATGACTCTGGGGCTGCGACTGAGAGCTTCTCTGACTGGATGAACGGGTCTCTGTGCGACAACGTGTGTGTGTGTGTGTGTGTGTCCGAGAACGTGTGTGTGTGTGTGTGTGTCCGAGAACGTGTGTGTGTGTGTGTGTCCGAGAACGTGTGTGTGTGTGTGTGTGTGTCTGAGAACGTGTGTGTGTGTGTGTGTGTGTGTCCGAGAACGTGTGTGTGTCCGAGAACGTGTGTGTGTGTGTGTGTCCGAGAACGTGTGTGTGTGTCCGAGAACGTGTGTGTGTGTGTGTGTCCGAGAACGTGTGTGTGTGTGTGTGTGTGTGTCCGAGAACGTGTGTGGTTGAGAGAAGGATCTACAGATATCAGATTACATGTTAAAATATATTTGTTGAAACACACAGTAGAGTAGTGTCTGCAGTCGAACTAAAGCGGATGAACATTATTACGGCTCATTCGGCCTGTTCAATAAACACATCAGCGATATCATACTGTTATATCCTGTATATATATTGAAGTTATTTGGACATTGATTTGCTGCCAGAGGAAACACTGAGACATGAATTTCTCTAAAACTGCTTTGAATCAATTTTAATTGTGAAAAAAATTTACAAATAAACAAGACATGACAAATAACATGTAACCAAGCAGTATTTATTTATTATGAGTTCACCATGTTTTATAAAACGTCTTCAGCAAAAGAGGGAATGCCAGGCAGTTTTTATAATAAGAGAAAGATTCTTGTCCAGGTGAAACTCATGAAACATTAAACAAGATTATTCTCTTCTCTTCAGATCACAGCGCCGGCGTCACGTCTTCCAGAAGTTTGGATTCTGCAGCAGTCGCCTCTGAAAGTTTTCATACCTGTAAGAAACACAATATCATCACTGAACACACACACACACCTGAGGCTGATCTGAACACACACTCACCATCTGAGGATGGAGCTCGCAGGAACGAACATCTCTGAAGGGTTAGGGGTCATCTGGGACTGCGACAGCGCGAACGAGGAGGTGAAGTTGTAGAAGCTCTCCAGCATCTTCTGTGTGAACTGAGGAAACAACCAGCAGCTCGTCTCAGTGACGGTACACACACTCACACTGATACACACACACACACTGATACACACACACAATCTGATACACACACACACACACCGATACACACACCAGTAGTGTGTCTGAGGCGTCAGAGAAACTGTATCAAGGGAAGCTCATGAATGGTCTAATCTGCACTATTGTGTGTTAACCCTTTACTGCTCATCTGGAAGAGGAGATCGTTCTGAATCGGCCGAACACACGTCCAGTTTATTACAGATTCAGCTCACACACAGGTCTCTGTTTCTGCAGATTCAGCTCACACACAGGTCTCGGGTGAATATCTCTGTGTTATCTCTGACCTGTGTGAAGGAGTCGACGGTGGAGACGGAGGAGTGTGAAACTGGGGTCTGTTGTGCGAGAAGATCCAGAGACTCAACGGAGACTCCGACCTGAGCGACTGAAGGAACCTGAGAAGCGGCCATCATCCCGAACGGATGCGCACCACCCTCGCCTGGAACACACACACACACACACACACGTGGTTTCGATGATGTCTGATATTCTGAGCAGATTCTATGTTCTCCTGTGATTAGCAGGTGTATGTCAAGTGATTTAAAGGGGTTTTACACCGAAGGCTCACCAGCTTTCAGCCCGGAGATCTTGAAGATGGCGCTGGGCTTGTCGTTGGTGATGAAGCCCAGGAGCTGCCAGACCGGGCCGAGCGCAGGGTCCGGGAAGGAGAAGTACACCGCGCCACCCATGCCGGCCGGGAAGGGCACCGTGCCCAGCAGGAACACCACCACGTGATGCACTCGCTCGCAGTCCGGCAGGTCGAACACAAACTTATCCGCGGAGACCTGCTGCGCGTCCGTCTGGACCTGAAACACACCACAGCAAGACCAGATCAAAACCAGATCAAAACCAGATCAAGACCAGAAGAAGACCAGATCAAGACCAGAGGAAGATCAGAGCTAAACCAGATCAAGACCAGAGCAAGATCAGAGCTAAACCAGATCAAGATCAAGATCAGAGCTAAACCAGATCAAGATCAGAGCTAAACCAGATCAAGACCAGAGGAAGACCAGATCAAGATCAGAGCTAAACCAGATCAAGACCAGAGCAAAACCAGATCAAGATCAGAGCAAAACCAGACCAAGATCAGAGCTAAACCAGATCAAGATCATAGCTAAACCAGATCAAGATCAGAGCTAAACCAGATCAAGACCAGAGCAAAACCAGACCAAGATCAGATCAAGATCAGAGCTAAACCAGATCAAGATCATAGCTAAACCAGATCAAGATCAGAGCTAAACCAGATCAAGATCAGAGCTAAACCAGATCAAGACCAGAGCTAAACCAGATCAAGACCAGAGCAAAACCAGATCAAGATCAGATCAAGATCAGAGCAAAACCAGATCAAGACCAGAGCTAAACCAGATCAAGACCAGAGCAAAACCAGATCAAGATCAGAGCTAAACCAGATCAAGACCAGATCAAGATCAGATCAAGATCAGAGCAAAACCAGATCAAGATCAGAGCTAAACCAGATCAAGACCAGAGCAAAACCAGATCAAGATCAGATCAAGATCAGAGCTAAACCAGATCAAGACCAGAGGAAGATCAGAGCTAAACCAGATCATCCCGCTTTGCGTTGTAACTAAGGCACTTTCACCACTTGTCCCTCATTTTCATCAGTCTATTGGTTTTTAACGATCATATTAAGAAAACGTTTTTAAGAAAGCATTTAATTATTATTTTTGCAGTAGTTTTCCCCCTATATTTAACAGCGCTTCGTCTAAGTAGCCTACAAATACAACAGCCGTTTTTATATCTTATCCAATGGTTGAAAAGAAAGGAGTAAACACGGCCACTAGGTTCTGACAGCTGTCAATCAAAATGTGGACCGGTGATTCGTTTCAAATGTTCCCTGTCAGAAAACAAATGGATAATTCGGTCAATTAAAATTTTGTAATTTAACAGATTTTATCTGTTGTTGTTTATCCTGTTGCCTGCTGTGGTTGTTTTAATTCACATCCTTTCTAAAAATATGAAAGTTTTTGGTTTTTAATATATTCTTAATATATAAGAAAGACTATCTATCTAATTCTAAATGTTGTTTATGTTCATTTACAGCTGAAAGGCAGAATACAAATGTCTTTATTAAGTTATATAGACATTAACAGTTTCAGGGTATGTTTTAGTGTTGGTAACATGTCCCACACAAACTTATAATCGTCCCACATCTGGTTTGTTTGATGGGGTCACCCTAGTGGTATATGTAATGAAATGATAATCTAACGTCATCCTGAAATCATATAAACGTCACCATCAGTAGAATTACGCGCGATATGACTTCATGATTTATTGTGTGATTGATGATCTTCGTGCGTTATTGTGTGATTATGTCGATCTTTATGCGTTATTGTGTGATTATAACGATCTTTATGCGTTATTGTGTGCGATTATGACGATCTTTATGCGTTATTGTGTGTGATTATGACGATCTTTATGCGTTATTGTGTGCGATTATGACGATCTTTATGCGTTATTGTGTGTGATTATGACGATGTTTATGCGTTATTGTGTGTGATTGTGATGATCTCACCAGTCTGCCCGCGACTAAACACCCGAACATCGCCGGTTTTACTGCAGAAACACATCCGAGAACACAGATACGGAGAAGCTCTTTAATATCTCATATCACTTCACATGTTATTCAGTGCTAGAAACTTCCAAAATCAGCGGACAGGCTGTAACCTCTGACCCGGAAGCAAAACACTGAACCGCTTCACTGATTGGACGATCCAGTGCTGCACGCGCGTCCTTAAAGTGCCCTAATGTGGATTTCTGAACATTGACTGCGCGCAGTGTGTAATGCTGCAGTATGGCAATTGGGAATGAATACAGTAAGTGACTGTGTCCAATTATGTCCATTTCAGAAATATGAACAGTTAGGAATGGGAATGCCTGGAACAGAAACATTGCTTCTGTATGATGTGTGTGTGTGTGTGTGTGTGTTAGCAGGATCTGAGACTGGAGGAGGAGGAGGAGGAGCGCCATGACCCTTCATCACTCCTGCACTTGTTCCTCAGGTAGCCTCTATTATTGAATGAACAGAAGCCACCAGGACAAACTGGACTAAAATCTCCCTTTTGACATAAACATGAAGGCAAGTGAATAATGACTGAATTTATACGTTGTTAACTTAGGGGCCGCTAACTCTCTCTACATAAACTTGAGAGCGCTGATGGCGTGCACATGCGCATTAAAGCGTTTATTCTATAGGGATGCGCGTTTGAATATATGTGCGCAGGCATGAAGTCCTTCCCTTCAAAACCCTCAGCAAACTACTTGTCTGTCCTACTGTCTACTAGAAAAACTTCTTGTCTGTTCCCGGTTCCGGCTGATCTAATCTATGCAGCCTAACATTCAATTATAGAAGTCTATAGTGTGTTGTGTGTGTGTGCTAGGCCAGAGAGATGTGTGTTTAGTCTAGATTTGATCTGCCAGAGTGTGTCTGCTTCCCGGACAATGTTTGGAAGATTGTTCCAGAGTTTTGGTGCTGAATAGGAAAAGGATCTCCCGTCTGCAGTCGAGTTTGATATTCTCGGTATTATCAACCAACTGGAGTTTGGAGATCGCAATAGACGTGAAGGACTATTATGCGTTAAAAGCTCGCTCAAGTACTGGAGATAAACCATTCAGTGCTTTATAAGTAATCAGCAATATTTTAACATGTATACGATGTTTAATAGGCAGCCAATGACAGAAGCGGGCTAATATGGTCATACTTCCTGGTTCTGATAAGAACCGGAGCGGCTGCGTTTTGGACCAGCTGGAGTTTGTTTATTAAGAGTGCAGGACAAACACCCAGTAGAGCATTACAGTCATCTAGCCTTGATGAACGCATGAACTAACTGTTCCACATTCGTCAATGAGAGCATATGGAGTAATTTAGAGATATTTTTAAGATGAAAAAATGCGGTTCTACAGATACTAGACACATGACTTTCAAATGAGAGATTGGTATCAAAGACCACACACACACACACACACACATACACACAGGTTTCTAACCGTTGATGAAGACTTGACAGAGCAGCCATGGAGTGTCAGACAGTATTCTAGATAATCACATGAGGAAGTTTCGTCAGGGTGTGAAGAGATATAGAGCTGAGTATCATCAGCATACAGTGAAAACTAATGCCATGCTTCCTAATGATATCTCCTAAGGTTAGCGTGTACAGTGTGTGTGTGTGTGTGTGTGTGTGTGTGTGTGTGTGACAGCACCATGCTAATGCAGATCCACTGATGTCAACATAGTTTTCTAGTCTATTTAAGAGAATGTTGTTGTCGATGGTGTCGAATGCAGCACTGAGATCGAGTAACACTAATAGAGAGATACGACCGCGATCGGATGATGAGAGCAGATCATGCGTGACTCTGACGAGAGCTGTCTCGGTACTGTGGTACGCTCTAAATACGGACTGGAAATCACGCAGATATTATTTCTTTCCAGAAAGGAACACAGTTGTGAGGAGACTGCCTTATAGTGTCTATGACAGAAGAGGTAGATTCGAGATCAACCTGTAATTAGCTAATTCTGCATGATCATGTTGTGTTTTTTAACAAGCGGTTTAATCATAGCCAGCTTAAAACTGTTTGGTATGTATCCTATAGTGACAAGAATGAATTAATGTTTCAAATAAATTACTGCCACTGTTTCAAATAAATACCTTGGGTCTTGTTTATTTTCTTCTAATAGGATTGAATAATAAGCAGATCTGGCAGCTTTCAAAGCCTCTTTATGCAGTCGAGCTCTCCTTCCATGAAATGCGAAATACCTCTAGTTTAGCTTTCTAGCAGCTACACTCCATGTTTCTGGCTGCTCTCTTAAGGGCCCGAGTGTGTGTGTGTGTGTGTGTGTGTGTGTGTGCTCTCGTTGTACCCATAGACTGTAAAAAATATGGACAAAGCGTCTGTGACGTCACCCATAGACTCTCTGAAGAACAGGTTTGAGGCTGTTTATGGGCGGCGCCATACTGGAAAATCTTGAGAAATACAAAATACAAATGTTCAGAAAGGATACAGAGGTGGTGTGATGTGTTGTCAGATCAGGGCCGAGACGTCAAATTCACTCGGCGCAGCCCGTTATCAGCTGTCAATCAAAGTTAACCGCCCTTATTTGTCATACATATTATATCTAAATATGATCTAAACTAACGAGTTAGAAAAAAAATCACCCCTCACAGTTGTCAGGCACGCAGAACATATTGAAGATTACAATAAAAGTCCATGGGACCAACCTATAAACGTATGAATTTATGCTGTGAAAACGGAGATTTTAACATGACGTCTATGGATATTTGCTCCCTGTTGGGACCGGCCTCTAGCGGATTTGAGTTTTATTGCAGTTTTTCGCCCTTCCGGGTAGGCTTCATCTTTCAGATCAGAATGATGCCGCTCGGTTGTACCACGGCGTTGGACTATTTTCTTTAAGCGCAACGGAGCAACTGTGTCTAAAGTGCTGGAAAAGAGAGTTCAAAGTTTCTGTCCCGATATGGAGTTCTTCTGAGCGATCCGGGACGATGAAACTGATCAGGAAGATTATTAATAAAGCAGTCTTTAGTGGCAGAAGTTATAGGTCAAACATATTTCTAACATGGTGTCGCTTTGCTGCTTTGGCCAAGTGAAGTTTACACGAGACTAGATAGTGATCTGAGATGTCATCGCTCTGCTGCAGAACTTTAACGGCATCAACATCTATTAATATTAGATCTGGGGCTCGTTCTTCGTACGTTGCTTAAAACATCCGAGATCAAATGAGACATCTAAGATGATATCATCGTGCTAATCATGATCCGGCTAATTGGGTTCTTCGAACACACCTGTTGTTTATGATTAGTATCGCTGGATTGAGTTATCTGAGATAACTGCGCGTTCTCGCGTTGGTTTAAAAGGGGACATGTATCGATAGCAGAACCAGTGATCAGCAGCGCCGCTATTGGCTGTTCAGCATGGCCAAAGAACACGCCCAGTTTTTCTCCCAAGCAGAGCAAGCGCTTTTAATGCAAGGTTATGCCGAATTTCAGTCTTTAATTAAAACGCCAGGGAACACCTCAAAGTGTGCAAAAGGCAGTAGAGAGTGCTGGCAAAAGTAGAAGACAAATTAAATGCGTTTGTGGTGGCCATAGATGTTTTAATAACTTATTATTATTTTATTTTTATTTTTATTTTCATAATTTCATAATTACTTTGTTCATTGTAATGTCGAGTCACCACACTATAATAATAAACATGGTGAAAGTGAAGTACAAAAATATTCTACTTAATGGTAATTTTAGGCCTTATAGGCCTACTAGTCTCTTTTAAAAAGGCACTGTTAAATAAATGATTGTCTGTTTATAAAAGCAAACAGGAAAAATGCTGAGAAAAAAATAATAATGATGCTCCTGACCCTGGCAGAAGAGCTGACCCTTGGGTTGAATGTGAATTGCCCTGTGAAGGGCATCCCTGGGTTCAGCTCTTCCAGACCCACATCAGGGACCAGTAGCAGCAACACCTACATCACTGGGAAATGAGATTTAAATTATCTTTGTACACTGTGAAATAATTTGTTGCTGCATTAAATGATGTAGACCTATAATCCAAATTGGCTGGTTTAGTCATTTCAACTGTTAAATCTTGAGTAATGATAAATTGCTTTGTCTTGTGAAAGTAAAAACTGATAAACTTATGTTAATGTAAAAAATATTTTGCCATGAGTTATCAATCACATTGCACTGGAGAGTAAAGAAAACTTCTCAAATGACTGTCCTTTGGAGGAAGTACTTGGCTTTAATTGATTTCTACTTGTGCCTATGCCTATTATTTCTGACAGGAGTCCACATGTACAGAAAGGCCTACAGAAGAGTCTGCACACAGCAGTGATACAGGGGTGGGCAGTGTAGACAACTTTTGCTTGTTATTTGTTGCATTTGTTCCCTATATGAGTCTTCAACAGAGTATTTTGAAAAAACAAAAATCAGGGGGAGAAACAGAACTTGACTAAGAAAAAATTGCACTATAGAGTTGCTTCAAAATAAACTTCAGAGTAAAATCACACAGAGTACTATTACTGACCTTAATATCTTTTAAAAAGATGACTGAATAACTGGCTTTTCTTTACAAAGAACTATTGAAATAAAACTCTAAGCAAACAGAGTTTTGCAAATTTGTCTTGTCTTTTATTTTAGGCTTAATTAAACATTTTTTTTTTCTTTTTCTGATGTTGGCAGTGTTGTGTAATATGGCACATGCAATGTCACAGGCCCTGTCAGGTGCAACCCTCAGGGTTTTTAGACATTGAAATCTTCCCTTTAGTTGGCCAAAGTTCATGTCATTGTGTGCCCTTGTCCTAGAGCTGCATTGTAACTGGGGTTTGGGTCAGGGAATGGGGTCATAAAACACCTGTCTCCATGCAGGATCCTGTTGTAATCACCTGTTTAATGGAAAAATGCAGTTCTCAGCATAAGTGTATGTAATACCGTGAGTTTGATATTTATAATTTTCCTTACCATGTTCAAATAATGTTCATAAATGTGAATCTCTTAAAATTCTTGAGTCATGCACAGATCCTGGCCATTTTGCTTTCACACTGATTTGTGATATAGAACATGGTCACACACCATCTAAAAGATTTTACTCAGTCAAATGCCTTTTAAAAAAAGTGATATAATATTCCAAATCTGGAATATTAAAAATTGTAATAGTAATTTGGCTGCACTGTATAAGCCCCCTTTCTGCTCACAAAATCCCTTTATTGAGGCCTTGATGGGAACATGTGTGTAGTCTACAGTGTATGGCACCAATCACGTAAGTTAAGCCTGAGGGACTGTAAGTCATAATCGGCATGGTCATCATGATTGCATTATCTTCATTAAAAATTATAATACACCCTAAGTTGGCAAAAAAAAAACTAAGAGCACTGCTTTGTGAATGGCACGACAGAAAGCTTATCAAGTTCTCCGCATCTCCAATAGTGTAAAGGAAGCCACTCGCAAATAATTTTAGGGCAATGCAAACATTTTGTGCTGTTGTTGAAGCCCGATATCGAATCGACCATTAATGTGCATTTCCAACAAAATAATAATGTATTTAAACGACACCCTCACGACGATCGTTTCACGAGAAAACAAAAATAAATCTCAGAAATTAAGCTACACTATCGCGCTGCGCTGAAGGACTTCCCGTATCAGCCGCGATCTAATCCTGTTTACATGAAATAAGCCTGCTCGCGAGCAGGTTCAAGCTGACGGACCTGTTGCTATGACAGCAAGTCTAGGATGAGCGTCGAAGAACCAAACGATCCAAGATCATGGCAAATCGCCAACAATCAAATCCAGCTAACTGAGTTAGCGACGTACGAAGAACGAGCCCCTGGAGTATGATTACGACAGTGAGTGGGTCCTGACACCTGTTGTCTAACTCCAATAGAGTTTATAATGTCTTTAAATGCCAATCCCAATGCATCTTTTTCATTATCTACATGTATATTAAAATCACCAACTGTTAGGACTTTATCTGCAGCCAGGACTAACTCTGAGAGAAAATCAGCAAATTCTTAATAGTCTGTATGGTGGCCTGTAGACATTAGCCAGCACAAATCTCAACATTAGTGAATCTTTGTTCACCATCAAAAACCATTGGCTTAAATTAAACAATTTCACAACAATTTAAGTGAGATTGAAGAACGGAGAAAGAAATAGACTAGAAAAATAGATTTTACTAAAGTCAGACAAAGAAAACAAAAGACGAAAGCAGCGTCAAGATAAAAACAAAAGCAACGAGATCAGAAGTTGATCATCATGTGATGCTTGAGGAGTGCGTCAGCGCAGACGGTCCCAGCGCCAGATGGAGGCGTCGTCACACACAGCGATCAGGATCCCACTGTCCCGACTGAAGCTGGTCTGCCGGATCGCAGAGGTGCACTTGGGGAGGGTGAGCGTCGTACACCTGACACACACACACACACACACACACTGTTGTCTTTTGGCTTGCTTGGTAGGGGACATTCAATATTCAACAATATTATTAAGAAATAAACTTCTAGTATGATGTTCATGCGCACACAGGTGAGGACAGCGGTCCGAAGAGGAGTCTTACTTTGCTTTATGAGGATCTTCTACTTCCAGGTCCCAAACGTACAGCTTCCCGACTTGATTTCCCAGAGCGAGCATCTGAGAGGGTGAAGACACACACACACACACTCAATCACCTTCTTCCAAACACTATTTATTGACACTGTGAGTCATTAGCTTGCTCTGTTGTCAGTAGCCTACAGTTCACTTGATAGCAGAACGAGACTGAACCCCCCGGTATACCTTCTGCCAGAAGTCCATAGAGAAGCGCATGTACCAAATGTCACACTGACTGTAATCAAAGCGGCCGAGAATCGTCACATTAGACTCGTTCGGTTTGATATGGTCAATATCGTCTTCCATTTTCCCAGGTTTCCAACACACAATAGCGTTCTCACATGACTGCGAAACATGACCAAACAAGAGAAATGATAAAGATGAGTGAACGAACATAAGTGTGTGTATGAGCTTGTGTGTTTCGGCTGAAGCACCTTGGAGAGGATCAGGTCTCCGAGCCAGCGCACACAGTCCACGTAGTTCCTGTGGATGTCGCGCGTCGAGAAGTCTGGGAAGTGGATCTTCTGAGACACAAAAGGCCTGAAAGCACACGTAGAAACCACAGGATGAGTGAGTCGGCGTCAGGGCAGGGAAGTGCACTAGATAGGGAGCACTGACCGGTTGGTTTTGCTGGGGTTGTACTCGTACGAGCCGCGAATGGCTTTCAGCATCCGCTCAGAGTCGATCCGCCACAGCTTCAGCGAGTGGTCCATCCCACACGACATGATCTTCTCCCCGAGCAGGTCAAAATCCTGCAAACACGTGTTTAGCGTGTTTATCATAATGCGACACACACACACACAGGGAATCCTCTGAGACTCACCGCACTCAACACCTCGTCCCGATGGCCTTCGACCCCACCAAAGATGGCCACCAGTGTGTCTGTCTGCACGTTCCACAGGCGCAGCGCATGATCTACACACACACACACACACACAGAAACACTGAGCGCTGAGTAGTGCTAGCGCTGAACACACGTGTCCGTCTGCACACGCCTCATTACCTTTACTGACGGACAGCAGCAGGTTCGGGTCCCGCGGGTGAAACTTGAGTTCGTTGATGGCGTTCCCGTGTCCGACGTAATGCTGCGGGCGAGAGGTGTGTGTGTGTGTGTGTGTGTGTGAGTGTGACGGAGGAGCAGAAACACACGACAGAGTTCAGCACAGTCACCGGCTCTCACCTTGACGCACTGCATGGTGATGTGGTTGATGATGCGGATGATCCCGCGTGACCCGGCGACGGCTAGTAACGGGTGACTGGTGCTCGAGTCGAACGTCCAGGCGCAGGTGTAGAAGTTCTCATCAGCCTGACAGAGCGAGAGTGAAGGAATAACACACACACACACACACACACACACACACACACGAGCTCTGAGAAGGATACATCAGCATCCACATACGACTGCAGCAGACGAATCTCTCCTTGAGAATGACACTCGTATAGAGTCACCTGCAGGAGCAAGACAGAGAATCAGAGACGTGTGTGTGTGTGTGTGTGTGTGTGTGTGTGTGTTCACTCACCCGGTTGCTCCCGACAGTAGCGAACACCAGTGGATCTCCTTCTTTACTATGCCAGTTAAACTGAACCCCGAACAGCGGCTGCCCGTGATCCTCCTGCACACGTCAAAATACACGTCTAGTACACACTACAGCTGCCACACAAGTGCACACTACAGAAACACCACAGGCTCGCTTACCCTCAGACTGTTGACACACTTGAAGGAATATTTGCATTTCTTGGACTTCCACTTGCCCTTGCCCCAGCTCTTCCTGCCCGGGGCATTAGCCGTGTTGGTCGGAGTGTCCGGCCGCTCCGTGTTGGGTCCACTGTCCACACTGATCGCATCATCCTGGGAAACACACACACACACACACACACACACACACACACACACGATGGGGAATCACACGAGGACAGGGGAAAACAGCGGGTCGGGAAAGGAAAGATGGAGACACATTGGTAAAACATGCAAGTGAATCTGAGCAGAACGTCATTAACATGTAATACAGAAGCAAAGCTGTTCACACAAACACACTTCACAGAGACCTATCGGGCTTAATGTTGGTATTAATTAATACTAAGACTGACTGGGTTGATCAATCATCGATAAACTAAACACATAACTGAAGCCAGACAGATTATAACTTACTGATGTTATTCTTGACAATACCGAACACACTAAATTAAGCTAATAACCGAAAGTGATTATCTTGCGCTAATGATGAACACACGATTAACACACAAAGAGAACCTTCTCTTCACTCACAAACACACACTTTCAATACACCTACATTATCGTCTCCGGACAGATCAGGGTTGCTGTTTTCGTCGCTGCTTAATTTCTGTTTTTTGTTATTTGGCATCTCGTTTCCCGCCTCGGCATGAGATTCAGACATCTTCCTCCTCATCTTCTTCCAGCAATGCCACACTGCCGGAAAGCGACTCGTGCGACACTGCCGGAAAGCCACGAAACAGCACGACAGCTGCAGTAACCCTGAGCGCCAGCAGAGGGAGACAGAACACCACAGAAAACAGAAGCTGAATCCAAAATTGCCCCCTATACCCTTAGAGTAGACTATTCGAGAGGACAAAAAAAAAAACAAATTTTTTTTTTTGAGAGGACAGCCTTTTGAAGTGGTGTCTGAAACCATAGTTATTGAGTGCACTCATTCAATCCCACACTGAACCGCACAAAGGCTGTAGAATACCCATAATGCACTGTGAATGAACTCCCGCGTCTGACCGGAAGATGGCGCCGCTGAATCAATCATCCAGTTTCCAAGCCGCGCTGCACCAGCGTAATATATATCATACAGGTATACATTCCTTTTAAATGTATTAGTAAATTATTTAATCACTGTTTATATGCCAGTTTCGATGTTAGAGTTCAAGATAAATATTTTCATTACTACTGAAGCTGATAGTTCCCTACGTTTCAAATGATTATTATTATTAAACCGCAAACAGCAGCGCGTCGAACCCCCTCCCTCCTCAAGTGCACTTTATAGTGGAGTAATGTAGGGAACAGGGAATGAGGGATAGGGGGCGATTTCGGACACAGCAAGAGTTTAACAATAAATTTGAATCTGCAACGTTTTCATGACGTATAAGTGCGATAATAGTTCACACAGTGACAATCTTTTTTTTTTCTTTTTTTTTTTGAAGATGTAAGTTAACTTGCTCAGGTATAAAATAAACTACAGTCTCAAATGTGTTAACTAGACCGTCGTCTTCATCATTAAGTGTGTGTTGGTTATAAGTATAATTGAGTGATTGTGATGATTCAGACTGACAGAATTAGATAAATAATAATCAGTGATGTTTGATCGATCGTGTTGTTTGTCTTTTTTTTATCATTGTTTATCCTGATGCTTATTTTTATTTTATTTTAACCCTGTCCCTCAGATCCGATGTTAATCCAGGATGTTGGATCAGGCCGATCGAGGAAGACTGTGATGACGAAGGGTCTGTACGTCACTGACACGCGGAGACATGTTTCTGTAACACTCACAGGTAACAGTGGGACTTTTCTTTTGGAGTAAAACTCATTTGTTGATTACAGTCGCTCACTATTCACTGATAGAGACGCGTGACGTGTGTGTGAGACGAGCTTCGATTGACTTCAGTGTGAAACTCTCCGACTGAACTGTGTGTGTCAGTAAAGCGGATGTGTGTGTGTGTCAATGAATATTCTAGTCAAATCATCTATAAAAAGTTTGTGTGTGTGTGTGTGTGTGTGTGTGTGTGTGTCAATGAATATTCTAGTCAAATCATCTATAAAAAGTTTGTGTGTGTGTGTGTGTGTGTGTGTGTGATGACACCAGTGCTGGGAATGTGACAGGAAGTAGAAGCACCTGCAGGAGGAAGTGGAGCTCTACTGTCAGAACTGATGCTGCGTTCCAATCGCCTACTAACCCTACGCCCTAAAGTATGTGGCCTACTCTTTTTGTGGAGAAAAAGAGAGTGTGTAGCAGAAGAGTAGACACGCGGTGAGACACACTATCACATCATAGCGTCTAGCGATTGCTCTCTCTCTTAGTTACACACATTCTGACCTGTCAATCATCCTGTCACTTAAACTGACCTGTCACTCATCCTGTCAAAGATACAGTCCTCCACAGTTAATGTAATTTTCTACTGTTTGGGAAAGAAGGGAAGCGTTGAACTGCAGCCGCGCCGCTCCTCATATTCATGCATAACAATCTGTTTTAAAGTTAATGGCCAAACAGATCTTTATAAAGTTTCATGTTGTTTTTGCAGATGAAACCTAACATGGATAACAAAGACCATTTACACATACATATGATGTTTTTATCAGTATAAATGTTGATATTAGTCACTCAACCCCTTTATACAAAACCCTTCAAAAAATAATGTGGAAATATGAAGTTGTTAATTTAAAATAGTCTGTGGTTTAAGATCCGACTGCTTGAAATCCTCGATCAGACTCGAATTACCAGTTTATCAGGATCAAAGTACAGTCAGCTTGAGATGCTAGTTCCTTGTTATGATCGTCGCTGTAACCGGTCCGTGGTTGAAACTTAATCTGTGGTTGAACAGACTTTAAACCCCCAGACCAATGAAACTGTTTATTATCTTCACATTCAGATGATCTTCATTTGAATATTATTTGTCCTGCTTGTATATTACTTCTGAAACAAACACCAGAGTAACTGACAGTGAATGTTGAGTATGATGAGAATCACTGCGGTTCACCGAATCTGAGAATATTGCGGATTCATGTTTTTGTAAACGTGACGGAAGAAGGAAATGCTCAAGTCGAGGTTAAAGCTGATGATGCTTCATTTGACTAGAACGTTCCCTAAAGTCCTCTCGAGTTTCACCAGAGTAAGACGAAACCTTCTGCTTCCCTATAGTAAAAATAAAACTTGCATAAGTGAGGGGATTCTCTGGGATATACTTTTCAAATCTATTTTCAGTGTCTTCCGTGTGCCTATTGTCTGTATATGAATGTGAAATTTTGTCATTGTGTTTTAAAGGTCAGAGTTTGTTAGCAGAGGAACACGGCTGTGACGGAGACTTTCCCTGGTAAACACGTCAACAGGTACTGTGCCAGTAAACGTCATTGATACTGTGAATATTAGCTCTATTACTGCCTTTTTATGGTCTCATCCATGAGTTCCTGTAAGTCCTGTTGAGGTGTGTGCTCGTTTTTCACATATTCAGTGCGATTATTTCCTGGTCGGGATCAGTTGTCTGCACTTTTGTTCTGAAATGTGTTGAAAGCTGAAACACTCATGTGAACAGAGGAAAACCAAACTTTATTTAAGATTGAATTACAGTTGACAAAAATCAAATTTACAGAATATCGAGTGACCTGCGGGAAACACTAGCCCACTCCTGCTATAATACCCATCACCACACAAACACAAACATCGTGCAGATTGCTTTAATACGAGCGGTTATAATGCACTCACGCCATCTCTCTGTTTTCATAAAGAAACACCTTTAACCATATTTTAATGCAGGTTTTACTGTTGATTCTGAGAATAACAGCTACAATCAAACTGAATAATCTGAATAATTATAGGACTTCTAGAGAATCACGTGACCTCACGAAAAAAAGTTAATAATCCATGGAAAAAAGTCCCAAAGTGACATGCTGAAACACGCCCTAAGTCAACAATCAAGGACTTTCTGGTCCAACCGGTTTAAAGTTACTGATTACCTTCTCCGATAGAGACTGTTGATAATGTTTAACATGCAAATCTTGAAAGTAAAAATAACAACAATACGCATATAGTTATATTGTTTGGAGATTATAGTTTACAAACCTTTACACACCAAAAGCAACAGTTCAGATCTGCACTGAACAAGAGAAGAAGATTCACTGTTTAAGCCAGTCACTGAATCTTACGACTTTCATTATTACTTGACGAATAATCCACCCTAACCTCCCCAATACACGATCCCTCTTCTATTGCCAGGCAGATTCTCTGAACCGTTGCTCTCACTTTCCTGTGCCGTCTACTACTCAGTAGTGAACAATGATAAAACTGTTTCATAGAAACAACCGACATCTGCCTGAAGTGGCAAATGGTTCTGTACATGATCCGGACTGCCTGACTGACAGCGATTCCTGTGGGGCGAAGGGTCGGTGTTCAGGAGCGGGACTGCACTCCTTTACCTTTCAGGATCCGACGCACCTGTGGAGAAGAGGAGGAACAGGGTGAGTGGAAACTGAAGAAGAGGAGGAACAGGATGAGTGGAAACTGAAGAAGAGGAGGAACAGGATGGGTGGAAACTAGAGTGACACCGTGAGCCTGAGGCTCTCCCACTGCATGGACCGGTCTGGGCCGTTTAGTAGAGTTATATAACACTTGAAATAGTCTGATCCCAGGTCTGATCCAATCTGATTGATATATCGAGTTATATAAGCCTGATCCCGGCTCTCTTACCTGTTCTCCCAGTGGACCCTCAGGCACCAGTTGGGCCGGCTGCTCGTTCTCCAGGTTCTTGGCGCTGGGATCGGCTCCTCGTCTCATTAGTAACCGGACCGCCTCCACCTGAGCCTGGCGACCCTGCAGAGCGCTAGCCATGTGGAGCGCCGTGTTCCCGCTGAACGCCTGTCAATGACATCACACAGTGGTTACATGATGCCCAGCGAGTGGTCACATGATGCCCAGCGCCACACAACACTCAACTAACCTTTGCGTTTATGACGGAGAAGTAGCTGGGCTGATCCAGGAACAGGCGCAGGAGCTCGACGTTAGCCTCTTCAGCAGCCATATGTACAGCGGAGCGCCCACTCTTACGGTCCTGCGGGAAAACATGGGACAGAGTCGGGGACATCACACAGACGGCACTGACGAGTGACCGAGGTGTGACTGTAGCGTGACGGAGGCGTGACTTTTGCATGACTAGTGTGATGGAGGCGTGACTGTAGCGTGACGGAGGTGTGACTGTAGCGTGATGGAGGCGTGACTGTAGCGTGATGGAGGCGTGACTTTTGCATGACTAGTGTGATGGAGGCGTGACAGAAGCGTGACGGAAGCATGACTGTAGCATGACGGAGGCGTGACTGTAGCGTGACGGAGGCGTGACTTTTGCATGACTAGTGTGATGGAGGCGTGACAGAAGCGTGACGGAAGCATGACTGTAGCATGACGGAGGCATGACTGTAGCGTGAAGGAGGCGTGACTTTTGCATGACTAGTGTGATGGAGGCGTGACAGAAGCGTGACTGTAGTGTGATGGAGGTGTGACTGTGGCGTGACAGAGGCGTGACTCTTGCATGACTAGTGTGATGGAGGCGTGACAGAAGCGTGACGGAAGCATGACTGTAGCGTGATGGAGGCGTGACAGAAGCGTGACGGAAGCATGACTGTAGCGTGAAGGAGGCGTGACTTTTGCATGACTAGTGTGATGGAGGTGTGACTGTAGCGTGAGTGAGGCGTGACTAGCGTGATGGAGGCAAGACAGAAGTGCGACGGAAGCGTGACTGTAGCGTTACGGAGGCGTGACTGTAGCGTGATGGAGGCGTGACAGAAGCGTGACGGAAGCATGACTGTAGCGTGACGGAGGCGTGACTGTAGCGTGAAGGAGGCGTGACTTTTGCATGACTAGTGTGATGGAGGCGTGACAGAAGCGTGACGGAAGCATGACTGTAGCGTGATGGAGGTGTGACTGTAGCGTGACGGAGGCGTGACTGTAGCGTGACGGAGGCGTGACAGAAGCGTGACGGAAGCATGACTGTAACGTGACGGAGGCGTGACTTTTGCATGACTAGTGTGATGGAGGTGTGACTGTAGCGTGATGGAGGTGTGACTGAGGCGTGACTAGCGTGATGGAGGCGTGACAGAAGTGCGACGGAAGCGTGACTGTAGCGTGATGGAGGCGTGACTGTAGCGTGATGGAGGCGTGACTGTAGCGTGATGGAGGCGTGACTGTAGCGTGATGGAGGCGTGACTGTAGCGTGATGGAGGCGTGACTGTAGCGTGATGGAGGCGTGACTGTAGCGTGATGGAGGCGTGACGGTAGCGTGATGGAGGCGTGACTGTAGCGTGATGGAGGCGTGACAGAAGCGTGATGGAAGCATGACTGTAGCGTGACTGTAGAGTGACAGAAGCGTGACTGTAGCGTGACTGTGGTGTGACTGTAGTGTGACAGAAGCGTGACTATAGCGTGATGGAGGCGTGACTGTAGCGTGATGGAGGCGTGACTGTAGCGTGATGGAGGCGTGACTGTAGCGTGACGGAGGTGTGACTGTAGCGTGACGGAGGTGTGACTGTAGCGTGACAGAAGCGTGACTGTAGCGTGACAGAAGCGTGACTGTAGCGTGACAGAAGCGTGACTGTAGCGTGACAGAAGCGTGACTGTAGCGTGACTGTGGCGTGTTCACCTTGGCCTCCAGCGAGGCGCCCATGAGCATCAGTGTGCCGATGCACTCGCTGAGCATCTTCCTCTTCTGCTGCAGAGCCGGACTCTGAGACACACACTGCTCCTGCACTGCTGCATTGTGGGACAGCACCGCCACGTGCAGAGGAGTGAGGCCTACAGACACACACACACACACACACACACCAGGTTAGAGCCCGTTTCATGTGCTGGGGAGTAAACACTGTTAACCAGGACAGATGAAGAGTTCACTGACCCTCGTAGTTGACCACGTCCACATCGAGCGCTCTCCCACTAGTCTGCACGCTTCTCAGGATGGCCTGCGGGAAACAGCAAGTTTCTTACTCACAAGACAACTGAGAATAAACAGGTCTGAACATGCACTGCATTCTGGGAGAAGGGAGGCGTTCTGCATGAATGCTACAGTAGCGTGACGGGTAACGACTGCAGAGACGGTTGCGTGTCACGACCTGTCAACACTTCTTGGCTGGCAGAAACACAGGCATGTTGCTTTGGGCTCTTATCAAAGGCGTTGTTGTGCTGCCTCTCGAGGGGAATTTTCCACTGGACTGCATGGCGCTTTTTTTCAGGAAATGCATATTATTCAAGCATGTTATGAGGAAGTTAGCGAGCGCCTGGTTAAATAAACACATAGACCAGGACTGTTGATGGATGAGATAATAGGGCTAACAAGGAAACAGTGGCATTCTTCACCAGTGTAGGTTAGGTTGGGCCTGGGTGAGTGAATTCAACAACTGACTTGTCAATTAATGAGTGAGATTAGTGAGGTCAATTTAGGGGTGTGCGATATGACGATTTTTAATCGTGGACGATTAAAATGTCTCCACGATCTGCTTTTGAAGAAATATCGTAGTATCGTGTTGCAGTGCGTCCTATCAGTTCAGTTCTGGCGCCCCGTCTCAACTGTACAACGCGACGTAGCCTACACATCACACGTTAATGAATAGGTATGGGACACTGCAATTCACAAAAGTTCGTTATTTGCATAAGCCTTGCCGGTTAAACATTTAATTCACGCGCTGATGCGCTGTTCTAACGTGCGCTTTCCTGAGCGCATATACCCCCGACAATCACATGCAGGCACTAGAAGCCTGTCAAACAGTTATCTTTCGAGTCTTATTATGCTAATACTGTTAAATACACACAATGTGTACATAAACAGGCTATGTCTAAAGTGAAAGCAAACATTTGAGAGAATATCTGGTGTAATATGCGTCTATATTAAACACGTCGCGTGCTGGTCTAAAAGCGACAGGAATAAATAGTACTGCCGCATGTCCTTAAAGGGATAGTTCACAAAAAAAAAAAAAATCTGTCATTATTTACTCATTCTAATGTTGTTACAAACCTTTATTAATTTCTTTCTTGTGCTGAACACAAAAGACGATTTTTTTTAATGTGGGTAATCAAACAGTTGCTGGTCCCCATTAACTTACAGGAGAGAACCTATAAAAAAACTATAGGGGGACCAGCAACTGTTCGGTTACCCACATTATTCAAAATAACTTTTATTTTCAACAGAAGAAAGAAACTTATTCAGGTTTAAAACATCTTGAGAGAGTAAATTAAGACCATTTTCATTTTGAGGGAACTATCTCTTTAGTAAAAAAAAAAAAAAAAACACAAGGAAAAAATCACTCACTGACTGAGAACTTTAATAGTAGCTTTAATCAATTCATTCAGTGAAGTCTCTGTAGTGTTTTAATTTCATATTTGTTTAATTTAATTACTTTCTTCAATGCTACTGCTAAATACACCTAGTGCATCTGAAAAATAAAGCACTATTTATTTAATTTGAATATTAATTTGTGTAATGTTTATCTTGTCTTATTTTTTTAATAACAAAGAAAATAATGACAAAGATTTTTATCTTCGCCACTGGCCTAAATGTATGCCTTTGATACCTAAGGCTTTGTTTTTAACATAAGGACATTAGTTTGGCTGTAATGAACAGCCACTTGCAAAATATTAAAACCAACTTGAAAAAGAATCGTGATAAAAAATCGTGATCGTGATTTTCCTAAAAAAATCGTGATATGATATTTTTTCCATATCGCCCACCCCTAGGTCAATTTGTGAAGGAGCATTTATCCATTTCAATTTATTAGACCATAAGCGTGCTAATAGTGGGCTAACAGTTAGCATGGTAATACTATGAGAAGTTCAGTTTTAATTAATCTGATGTGAAGCTTCGCTTTTTAACAGATTCAGTCCTGCTGAATCCACAAGTTTATTATTAAGTGTTGTTATTATTTTGTTGGTAATTATTATTAAGAAATCCATTTTATTATTATTATTTATTTTTTTTAACTCAATTTTAATGTTTAAATTAAAGTAATCAAAAAGCATGTCTAATTAATAGAAATCATGAAACTTGTACAATTTAACAACAATTTATTAATAGTATAAAAAATGACTTGTTTAGGGCCGGGTCTCATTTAAAAATTTTCGATATCGATACCAATCTTGACTTTAATACCAGTTCCTGAATGATATTTTTTTTTATGCCTGTAAGTCTGTGAAAAAGTCAACAAACTGAAAACATAAATATAACGAATATAAAGCTTTGCAAACAACTGGCAAAAGTAGCCTAATGATTATGAAAGTAAAAAAAGCAAGAAGTCATTTTAATTGTTTTATTAATAAACTAGTGTTTTCTGAGTCAGGGTTAGGTTCATTAGGTTCAGGGTTCGGTTCACTGAGTTTCGGTTCATTAGAGACGCGCTCCAGTTCCTCCTGCAGAACAACTTTCTGCTGGTAAGTTTATTGTGCGCTGTCGAGTGCTTCATCGGATTTGATGTGTTGCCGGACTTGGCAGCAATGATTTTGTCACAAATATTGCAAAAAGCATGTCTTGTCAATTTAATTCATAACAACAATTTATTAATAAAATTAAATTTCTAAGAAAAGTGAAACAAAGTGCTGCACAAAAATTATAATTAGTTATTGTTCGTGTTAGTATTATTAGATAGAGATTAGATCAATTCTACTGTACAACAGTAATACATTTCTGTCACAATTTTAAGTTAAACAGAACTTTTGATTTTGATGGGTTGCCATGAAGACCTTTGAGTTCCTGTGTGTTTATGAGATGACGATAGTTTTTCTCAAGTGAAATGGTAAAATGTGGCTCTCTGAGTAGCTTTGAAGTTCATGCATTCACATCGGGATGAATATGAAAACACAGCGGGTGTCACGACGAGTGCTTCAGTGTGTGTGGGAAAGGAAACCATATAGATGTCGAGATTTGATTTAAAGGTTCCCTAGAATGTGTTGAAATAATATTTTAATTTTGTCTCTGATATCTACATAGTGGGTGTGTCATGTGGCTTATTTAAGGGTTTAAAATTTCATTTAAAATGGTTTCAACTCTAGAAATTGGCCCTAGAATGAAATGGTCTGTTTTTACCTTATTTGGAAGGGTCATGAATAGTAATGAGGAGTTCTGATCTGATTGGCTGTTTCACTTATCAAACTCTGAAATACAAGCGTGCAAAATAATCATACGTCGGTTTTCAAAAATTAAAACATTTTAACAAATGGACTAACGTTAGATGCCTTGTCAAATAAATAGCATCAACTTATGTGGTGGAGAATTTGAAGGATTGAGTGAGATCTGTGAGCAACTAAATAACGTAGTTAGCCCCCTGACGTGTTGATGAAATAGACGAAAGCAAAATTATTTGACAAAAGGGAATTTACATATAAATCTACAAAATAATCCTGTACATTGACAACACAGGCAAGAAATATTAACCTCAGCGTAAATACTTTGTCATACTATTTATTTATGTATGCTGGTTACTTGGAGTTTGCTATTGTTACTGTACTAGGATCTTGAGCTGGATCTAGAAAACACAGTGTAATCATCGTTAATGCAGGAATACGGTTGTAATTGCCCCCTTCTTCAGTATGAGACGCTGAGAGAAGCCGGCTTGATATTGTCCCAGGTTAGAAAATAAATCCGTAGTGAAATGCGCAAAGAAAACTAACAACTTGGAATTAAACTGTTGTGGTAACGTTATCCGATTATAGATAAACATCAACCACGCCTGTTGGCATTTCTTTTCTGTGGGAAGGGTATGAAAAGTCCTCATATCCCCTGCGCAGCCTGGAACATAACATTTGTTTCCATGATCTGCCATTTTCCCTGTGATCCTCGCTTGTTTCTCCACCTGCAGAACTTCCGATGATTCGAGTTTCGCCTGGCATTGAACATGGGCTGGCATGCAAATTTCTGGAGGCGTACTATGCCAAGATAAATTCAATTTCTAATTCTAGGGCACCTTTAAGTGTACTAACATGCTGATTATTTACAAATTCCGTAAAATTCCACGTTATGAAGTAAATTCTATTTTTATGGCTGGATTCCTCAATTTCCTGCGTTTTCCGCATCGCGGCAGTCATAGGTCCGTTATGATACTGTTATGATGTTTGAAGTGAGTCTGAAGCACGAAAGCTTCTTCATAATAAGACAATATAATTAATGTGATAATCTAGTGGTTGAGGTTCCATTCAATCGTAGTGTGAACGGGTTTGATGCCCGTCATCGACTCGTAACATCAGTGCCGAACCAATATGCCCTCGGCTGTGGGTACTGTACTGGGTACTGTGGGAACAGCACTGTGTTCTTACACTCAGGCACAGGAGTAACAGGAGTACCTGCAGCCCAGCGTGGGGGCGGAGTTACAGGAGTACCTGCAGCGTGGGGGCGGAGTAACAGGAGTACCTGCAGCGTGGGGGCGGAGTAACAGGAGTACCTGCAGCGTGGGGGCGGAGTAACAGGAGTACCTGCAGCGTGGGGGCGGAGTAACAGGAGTGCCTGCAGCGTGGGGGCGGAGTAACAGGAGTACCTGCAGCGTGGGGGCGGAGTGACAGGAGTACCTGCAGCGCGGGGGCGGAGTAACAGGAGTACCTGCAGCGTGGGGGCGGAGTAACAGGAGTACCTGCAGCGTGGGGCGGAGTGACAGGAGTACCTGCAGCGCGGGGGCGGAGTAACAGGAGTACCTGCAGCGCGGGGGCGGAGTAACAGGAGTACCTGCAGCGTGGGGGCGGAGTAACAGGAGTACCTGCAGCGCGGGGGCGGAGTAACAGGAGTACCTGCAGCGCGGGGGCGGAGTAACAGGAGTACCTGCAGCGCGGGGGCGGAGTAACAGGAGTACCTGCAGCGCGGGGGCGGAGTTACAGGAGTACCTGCAGCGCGGGGGCGGAGTAACAGGAGTACCTGCAGCGTGGGGGCGGAGTGACAGGAGTACCTGCAGCGCGGGGGCGGAGTAACAGGAGTACCTGCAGCGCGGGGGCGGAGTAACAGGAGTACCTGCAGCGCGGGGGCGGAGTAACAGGAGTACCTGCAGCGTGGGGGCGGAGTAACAGGAGTACCTGCAGCGCGGGGGCGGAGTAACAGGAGTACCTGCAGCGCGGGGGCGGAGTAACAGGAGTACCTGCAGCGCGGGGGCGGAGTAACAGGAGTACCTGCAGCGCGGGGGCGGAGTTACAGGAGTACCTGCAGCGCGGGGGCGGAGTAACAGGAGTACCTGCAGCGCGGGGGCGGAGTTACAGGAGTACCTGCAGCGTGGGGGCGGAGTTACAGGAGTACCTGCAGCGTGGGGGCGGAGTTACAGGAGTACCTGCAGCGTGGGGGCGTGGCCCTTCTCAGCACACACGTGTAACGGGGACCGGCCCCAGGAGTCCAGGGTGTTGATCTCCGCGCCGAGAGAAAGCAGGTCTTGTGCGATCAGGTGCTGATCTGCAGCAACACTGACCTGGAACGCGCTCTGATTGGAGGAAGCATGAGATGAGTAACAGTAACAACAGGGTGTGTGTGCACAGGTGTGTATTCATCGGTTAAGGGAGTGATGTCTCGGGGCTGTACCTGCTGGTTGTGTTCCTTTATGTCCAGCATGCCAATGGCAGCCATTTTCCTGGCGAGGACGTAAGCCAGAGCTCTCCTGCCCTGAGCCACTGCGATGTGCAAGAACCTGCCAATCAGACACAGTCACTGACTGATCACAGGTCATGATTCTCTATGACTCTCCAACTCTGAGGCGCGTTTGATCTGATGACTCACGTGTCTCCGTCTCCGTCACGAGCGCTGAGCTCCGCCGCGCTGAGAGCCGCCAGTTTCTGCTCCTCCTGCTCGATCTGCCACTGGAAGAAGGACACTGGGACGACTGGGGTCACATGGTGTGTGTGCGCTGGGATGGAGTGTGTGTAAGAGCAGCTAGTGTACAGGGGCAGAAGAGGCTCACGACACACACTCTCAGCTTCAGTGAACAGGCCCAGAAGAGACTCCGGACCCCGAGCTGGATCACACACACTCTCAGCCTCACGACACACACGCGCTGGGCATCCGCTCACGCTCACGGACTCGATGGACAGCACCTCACCGATGTCCTGCAGCATCTCAGCGTCGAAGAGCGAGTTCTCACCGCGAACACATGCAGACTGAGGGAAACACACAGCAAGAGTTAAACACAGATCATGTGGATGTGAACAGGCAAGTACATCATCACTAACACACACACACACACACACACACAGGGCTGATTGAGGGTTCTTCACCACACAAGACCAACCCTCACTAGATCGTCTCTTGCTTCGGATTTGAGAAGTTTCAAAACTAATTTAAATAAAATTGATTTATAATTAACTATACTCTACGCTAAGATTCTTATTAAACTGTATAACAAAGAACAAAACACACACAGATCTTTTTCCATTGGAATCACAGAAAGATGATATTAGACGCACCCGAATGTTTCCGTCTGGAACTCGTTTCGCCGGATAGTCCGTCGGACTCTCCGCTCGCCTCTTCGTTCCCTGCAGCAAATGAGTCACGGCTACAAAAAACAGGAAATTAATTTCCAGTCATTTTTCAGAAACAACTTCCTTGTACTATTCGAACTCATAACTCATACAGTGATGTAATTACCTGGATATTCACTTTCAAATTGATATTGCTGAGTCTGTGAAGAAGAAAACAATTATGTCCGGCATACAGCACTGTGGATTTATAAATCCCGTCATAAAACATGAAATAATGTGAATAAGCACCTGGATGTTGTGATGGCGCTTCTGCAGGATCAGCTCTTTGACTGTATTCTTCACTCGAACACCTTGATAGTGACTCCGTTTACGCTCTTCTACAATTAAACATCATTTACTTTAATCTCTAATTACGGTCCTCTGAAACACTGAATAACAGACTTTTGACAGTCTAGTTGCACAAACTTAAATAATAGTTTGACCAACAAACAGTTATCAATGGGGAAATCAGTTAAACTTTTCAGATTTAAATGAGAATAATCGACCTTTTTATGTAAATTGATTTTTTTTTTTTATTATAAAAAGTTATGATCAGTGTTGTGGCAAAAACACATTAAATGACCAACTTGTTTAACTTGTCTAAGCAGTTTTTACGCGATAGGTTACTCATTGTTTTCTTGACTGCCATTCGGTTCGCTAAATTAAAATGTAATTTTTTGTTTTAATTATAAGCATTACATATATTACATTCGTTATTTCCTACCGTTGACGGAGTTCCGCGGGCTTCCCGCATCGCTCCAGGTCTGGTCCGGGTCCGAGTCCGAGTTCGGGGACAGGTTCGCTTCTGTGGGAGAAGAACAGCCGTAGAACGACCACAGTTGGACCGGGCTGGTCATAACATCGCTGTCTCGGTCCAGAAGACCCGAGAATTCCTCAGAAACTCCGTCGATTATCATTCTCTCTTGCTGCGACGCGCGTCTGAGCGTTTGATCTGAATGATGCGTCGCGACACTCTCTGGAGAACATAGACAGTGCTTGAGAACTTATCAGCGCGTGACGTGCGCAGGAACGTCAGGACACGCCCTCATCAATACTCCAGGGTTACACCACGCACCAGCATTCATAATCATTTATAATTAAAACAACACTATGAGAGGTGATTATAGGCTGTCGTTTTAACGACATAACATCTCACTATTACCACACATTATGCCGTTAAAATTATATATTTACTTGGCCTTAAATTGACGTAGTCATGTACAAAATATGCCTTTCATCCACATAAAATATGTAAAGCCTATCGCAGCCCTTAATCCGAGGCGAACCTACACCCAGGCAAAATGAATCAGTGAGGCCTTTTAAAAAAATATATTTTATATAGGCCTATAGTTTCTTTTAATATATATTCATATATAAGATTTAGTTGTGTTAATATGCCATATCTTCATTACCTAGAGATTTAATTAAATAAAAAATAGTCAAAACACATCTAACAGAACATAATGTCAATCTTCATCTTTATAACAGAAGATACAATAATAATACACAAATCTTCAAGATACAGCCTACAATCTTCACATGTATAACGAATTGGATATAACGAATATATAGCCTATAACGAATTGTCACCTGTGGCGGAATATAAGCAATGCTATATAGAAATATATGGTTAGCATCTTAATTCAAACTTTATTTTATTATTGTATTGTTTCATTAACTAAGTATGCTAACTTAACTAATTAAATGTAAAGAGCTGGTTATTGTGTAAAGATATAGAGAGCTTTTCCAAAAGCACAATTTATTCTTGTTATTGTGAGTTTACAAAAATAAAAGTAGTCTAATGATGTGTATTATTACTCCACACTTGCACGCTCCACACTTTGTTTTTGTTTATTTTATAGGCTACAATATGTTTTTCACTTTTGTTTTAAATTGAATGGGCTGCCATAGGATTTGTCATAAAAGAGACTTCACCCAAAAATGAAAATCCTTTCATCATTTACTCACCCTCAAGTTGTTGCAAACCTTCTTCTGCTGAACACGAGGGAAGATATTTTGAAGAACGATTGGAACCAAACAGTTGTTTGGCACCATTGACTTCCATAGTAAAAAAAGACAAAAATAATAATATTGAAGTTAGTGGTGCCAAAGTTCCAATCATTCTTCAAAATATCTTCCTTTGCGTTCAGCAGAAGAAAGAAACTCATACAGGTTTGCAACAACTTGAAAGGATTTTCATTTTTGGGTGGAGTATCCCTTTAAGAGTTTTCTTTGTAATAAGGGTTTCTATGGGAGGAAAACGCGTTAATGTGTAATTAAAGGCAATGCTCGTATTCTGGGCCCATCTGCTATTCTGTAGGCCACACATGCTTTATTAATAAGGTGTGTACAGAATTTGATCTTTTAACATGAATGTCCATTGGGGGCTGCTATTGCTTTTTGAACATCGAAGGATGATAAAGCCATGATAGGCTATACACATTTTATTTGGATAATGGGTTAGGTTAGGGTTTTTGTACATTTTTGTATTTTGTACATGAATACGTCATTTTAACGACATAACATCTCGTTGTTATGAGAAAAATATGTCGTTTTAACAACATAATTGAGTGACAGCAATGCGTCACCGTAGGGAACAGATGATCAGGATCTTCATAAACTGAACAGTTCTGATCCAAATCAATCCAACAACACCATTTATAAATATACTGAACCACTCAAGACAATGTAAACGAGTAAACAACCGAACAAACTAATGAATGAGGTTAGTCTATATTACATAAAATATAAAGAAAAGGCACAAAAAGAAGAACAGGTTATTCATGTTAAATGAATCACAAGAACAAACTCATGATTCCTGTAGATAAAGAGCTCCACCTAGTGGTGTTAGTGCTAGTCAAGTATATTTATATAGCACTTTTCACAATATAGATTGCATCAGAGCAGCTTCACAGTATCAATCAAAACATAATAACAATGTTCATTTCTTAGTGGAAAAACATCCACGTTTGGTAGAGCTGATCAATGTTACTGTTGATTGGTTCATTCATTTGAATATCCCCGAGCAAGCCAAAGGCAACAGTGTTGTTAGTGCTAGCAGTGCTAGTGGTGTAGTGTTGTTAGTGCTAATGCGGTCAGTGTTAGCAGCACTAGTGTTGTTAGTGCTAGTGGCTCATATGACCCGTGCCGTGTTCACAGCGGGATTATTCACTGTAACGTCCGTGATGTTATTAATCAATTAGGTGATATTTGAATTATAACTTTTTGGTGCAGGACATTGACCACAATGGTGAAGGAAAGTAAAACTTTATTTTAAAAAAGGTTTTGTTAAATATGTGACAAAAAAAAAAAAAGAATAAAAATGTCAAATAAATTAACACTTGTTGCATACGCCACACAGAACACCTGTTGCAGCACATACTGTAAATATCCAGAAGCACACATACGAATATTTATGATAAAGGCTACTAAACTCTCAACAGGTTCAAACTATCAAATAAATTCACATTTATTCCACACATCCACATGCTCCTCTACAGTTCAAGGCTATTTCTGGTTGTGTCGTCCAGACTTTGTTTAATAAGGAAACCAGCCGACTGGTAAGTGGACTGAAAGAGCTCGGCACTCTGGGTAAGTGAATATGTGATATCAATGACTTCTGACAGAAAGCTTTATAGTGATATTACAACTGTGTAAATGCATGTTCTCACTGTTCGAGAGAAGAAAGGCAGCAGCGGCCAGTCATATAAAAGTCATTGTTGAGTTAAACACACAACCTCGTTCAATCAGCGAGTGTTTGACGGATGACATTAATGTAATATGGAAATAAAAGACATGTCTGTTGAATTCAAGGGATGATCTTCAAGAAAAGCTAAAGCTTCATCCACGAAGGCATGGGGTGTCATCAGTCTGATGTCCTGTGATGCCCGAACCTCAGCTCCGGTCAGGACAAGCGCTCCTGTTTTCCCGGAGGAGAGAGATCAGATGTTGCGTCTCCCTCCTCCTCCTCCTGCAGTCGCTGTACGGATGACAGATACTGCTGTAACAGGCTGTCTCCAGCGGCCAGAGCCCCCGACCCGAGCGAGAGAACCGGGGATCCGGCTGAGATCCGGCTGGTGTCTGGCGCTGGGGATCCGGCTGAGATCCGGCTGGTGTCTGGCGCTGGGGGTCCGGCTGAGATCCGGCTGGTGTCCTGCACTGAGGATCCAGGTGAGATCCGGCTGGTGTCTGGCGCTGGGGATCCGGCTGAGATCCGGCTGGTGTCTGGCGCTGGGGGTCCGGCTGAGATCCGGCTGGTGTCTGGCGCTGGGGATCCGGCTGAGATCCGGCTGGTGTCTGGCGCTGGGGATCCGGCTGAGATCCGGCTGGTGTCTGGCGCTGGGGATCCGGCTGAGATCCGGCTGGTGTCTGGCGCTGGGGGTCCGGCTGAGATCCGGCTGGTGTCCTGCACTGAGGATCCAGGTGAGATCCGGCTGGTGTCTGGCGCTGGGGGTCCAGCTGAGATCCGGCTGGTGTCTGGCGCTCCCTGTGTCTTTCCAAGGGAATGGAAACCGGACTCCGGGATGGAGATCTCAGTGCTGACGGGAGCGACAGCAGGAATGCTGGGATTGAATGAAGAGCTCTCGTTCACAGACGACTGCCACTCCAGCACAACCTGAAGCTGTTCGATAAACACAGTCAGAAATATTCATTATCTGCTGTTTGCATCTTTGATTCGCTCCTCACGTGAGGAAAACTGGGGAACACTGGGGAACACTGAGGAACACTGGGGAACACTGAGGAACACTGGAGAACACTGGGGAACACTGAGGAACACTGGGGAACACTGAGGAACACTGAGAACACTGAGGAACACTGAGGAACACTGGGGAACACTGGGGAACACTGAGGAACACTGAGGAACACTGGGGAACACTGGGGAACACTGAGGAACACTGAGAACACTGAGGAACACTGGGGAACACTGGGGAACACTGAGGAACACTGGAGAACACTGGGGAACACTGAGGAACACTGGGGAACACTGGGGAACACTGAGGAACACTGAGAACACTGAGGAACACTGGGGAACACTGGGGAACACTGAGGAACACTGAGAACACTGGGGAACACTGGAGAACACTGAGGAACACTGGAGAACACTGAGGAACACTGAGGAACACTGGAGAACACTGAGGAACACTGGAGAACACTGAGGAACACTGAGGAACACTGGGGAACACTGAGGAACACTGGGGAACACTGAGGAACACTGGGGAACACTGAGGAACACTGGAGAACACTGGGGAACACTGAGGAACACTGGGGAACACTGGGGAACACTGAGGAACACTGAGAACACTGAGGAACACTGGGGAACACTGGGGAACACTGAGGAACACTGAGAACACTGAGGAACACTGGGGAACACTGGGGAACACTGAGGAACACTGAGAACACTGAGAACACTGGGGAACACTGGGGAACACTGGGGAACACTGAGGAACACTGAGAACACTGAGAACACTGGGGAACACTGGAGAACACTGAGGAACACTGGAGAACACTGAGGAACACTGAGGAACACTGGGGAACACTGAGGAACACTGGGGAACACTGAGGAACACTGGAGAACACTGGGGAACACTGAGGAACACTGGGGAACACTGGGGAACACTGAGGAACACTGAGAACACTGAGGAACACTGGGGAACACTGGGGAACACTGAGGAACACTGAGAACACTGAGAACACTGGGGAACACTGGAGAACACTGAGGAACACTGGAGAACACTGAGGAACACTGGAGAACACTGGGGAACACTGGAGAACACTGAGGAACACTGGAGAACACTGAGGAACACTGGAGAACACTGAGGAACACTGAGGAACACTGGAGAACACTGAGGAACACTGGAGAACACTGAGGAACACTGAGGAACACTGGAGAACACTGAGGAACACTGGAGAACACTGAGAACACTGGGGAACACTGGGGAACACTGAGGAACACTGGAGAACACTGAGGAACACTGGAGAACACTGAGGAACACTGGAGAACACTGAGGAACACTGGAGAACACTGAGGAACACTGGAGAACACTGAGGAACACTGGAGAACACTGAGAACACTGGGGAACACTGGAGAACACTGAGGAACACTGGAGAACACTGAGAACACTGGAGAACACTGAGGAACACTGGAGAACACTGAGAACACTGGAGAACACTGAGGAACACTGGAGAACACTGAGAACACTGGAGAACACTGAGGAACACTGGAGAACACTGAGGAACACTGGAGAACACTGAGGAACACTGGAGAACACTGAGAACACTGGAGAACACTGAGGAACACTGGAGAACACTGGAGAACACTGAGAACACTGGAGAACACTGAGGAACACTGGAGAACACTGGAGAACACTGAGAACACTGGAGAACACTGGGAACACTGGAGAACACTGAGGAACACTGGAGAACACTGAGGAACACTGGAGAACACTGGGGAACACTGGAGAACACTGAGGAACACTGGAGAACACTGGAGAACACTGAGGAACACTGGAGAACACTGAGAACACTGGAGAACACTGAGGAACACTGGAGAACACTGAGAACACTGGAGAACACTGAGAACACTGGAGAACACTGAGGAACACTGGAGAACACTGAGAACACTGGAGAACACTGAGGAACACTGGAGAACACTGAGAACACTGGAGAACACTGAGGAACACTGGAGAACACTGAGGAACACTGGAGAACACTGAGGAACACTGGAGAACACTGAGAACACTGGAGAACACTGAGGAACACTGGAGAACACTGGGGAACACTGGAGAACACTGGGGAACACTGAGGAACACTGGAGAACACTGAGGAACACTGGAGAACACTGAGGAACACTGGAGAACACTGAGAACACTGGAGAACACTGGAGAACACTGAGGAACACTGGAGAACACTGGGGAACACTGGAGAACACTGGGGAACACTGAGGAACACTGGAGAACACTGGGCTACACTGGGGAACACTGGAGAACACTGGGCTACACTGGGGAACACTGGAGAACACTGGAGAACACTGGGGAACACTGGGGAACACTGGAGAACACTGAGGAACACTGGAGAACACTGGAGAACACTGGGGAACACTGGGGAACACTGAGGAACACTGGAGAACACTGGGGAACACTGGGTTCACATACTCTGGCCAGATTCTCTTGGTCTTGTTTATTCTGACTGAGATAACGAGAGTCTCCATCATGACACTGACCTGCTTCCACAGGAACTTCACCGCTTCTTCTTGCACACGTCTCTGCAGTCGGTCTTCTTCTTGTTGCTGGCGCACCCTGCAAAGCATAACAGTTACTGGGAAATACTTTACACCGTTTAAGCTTCCGTTATAGTTGAAGCCGTTTTAGTGTTTGAACTCATGAACGATTCACAGAAATACAAGAATGATTCAGGATCTATAAGAAAACTTTTCAAATCTTTCCTTTAGTCTTTATTCAGTGAATCTCTGGAATTGTTTGACACGTGTGTTTAATGGTGAAGAGTTTCACCTGTCCAGTTCTGCGGTCAGGTGGACGATGTGGTCCTGCATTCTGCGCAGGCGTATCTCAGCTCGCACTTCTCTGGCCTGTGTGTGACAGTGGCGTGTGTGGTGACCCCTCCACCAGGCCTGGATCCTCACGGCGGCGTTACACTGCATCCCAGTCCCAGTCCTCCCACAATCCTCCACAGACCCGTTCTGGAACACGGCATCCCCGTTAAACAGCGCGTCTGTGTGACTGAGCTGCTCCAAACCACCCGATGCATGTGTGTGAGAGGCGAGGATAGCTCCGCCCCCTGACTCCTCAGCCGGTGGGTGGAGCTGAGTGGATGTGGGAGGGGCCAGGGAATCCTCAAACTCCTCCTCCCCACTGTCAGGAGCTGACTCTGGATGATGGACCGCAGGGTTAAAGGGTAAGAAAGCAGATTCAGAGGACAGCAGACTCCCATGATGCATCTCTTCATCCGTCACGTCCTCCACAATCATCCGGTCCTCATCAGCGAGTGGAGGCCGGGCCGCAGAGACGACAGGTGTAGAAGAGTCAGAGCACATCCACGAGTTCATCTGAACGCCTGGAACCACATCTGCAATCATAATGGAGAATCAGGACAGGAGAAAGACCCTGACGAGAGATGCACTGATGAACTGTGGTCCTAAAAGCCCATACCTGGATCACAAAAAGAATCATGTAGATCAGTCAATAATGCAAGCCTGCCCATTAAACTAGCACTGATGTCAACTGGCACCGGGCAAATGACAGAGATGATTTTGACTCATTTAACTTAGTTAATTACTAACTTAATTCATGATTGTTTAAAAGTGTCTCTTTCAGATGCGCAGTGTCAGGTGTGATCGTTAGTTAGCAAAGCAGTTTCCCGTCACAGTCCGGTAATGTTGGCGAGCGTCTGGCCCGCTTGTTTGTACCGTATTTAAAGGGATAGTTCACTTTGAAATTAATGTTTGATATGTTTTATTCTGTTCATTTTCTCACACAAACCGCTCGTTTCGTGTCTTAGGCCATCAGTGTGTACTTACATTCACGAGTCATTAAATCATGTTTAATCTGGACTTCTCTGTGCTCCTCTTTGAGATGGTGACCATAGACCTGCATTATATGACTGACAGACACGAACGGTTTGACCGAAAAATATCACAATTGAAAATACTGTGGAAACAAAGACACCTACATCTTGGTTGCCCTTGAGGTAAGATAAAACATATCAAAAATTAAGAGTGATTAAATGAGATTAAGCGAGATCAAGTGTAACGTGTGTAGTGATTACGTGTAATGAAGATGAAACCTCAGGCTGATGAAACCCTTTATCTACCATAACTGTACACTTGTAAATAACATATCTGTACATTAATTTAAACAATTATACAAATGTTATTCATTTATTTCTACTACTGTATGATATCACATTATTTAAATTTGATCATATTTCATTTCTACTGTGTAATTCCTTTCTATTTCTGCACCAGGACTGTACTTTCTTCTGCTGTCACTAAGATCAACTCCTTGTGTGTGAAAACAACAAACTTGGCAAATGAAGCTCAGTCTGATTCTGATTCTGATTCTGATTAGCATGGCTGTGTGGAAACGGATCTGCTAAACTGGATCGCTGGGGCTGGTGAAGAAGAGAGATCTGCGCTGATACACCACTGTGAAAAGTGGCACAACTGTTTAGTGTATTCCTGTGTCTGTGACCGATCTGACCTGTCTGAGGAATGACATCATCATCATCCTCATCCTCCTCCTCATCTCGGCTCCTGTGGTCCCGGCACAGATGCATGGGTAGGTGTGTGGGCCGAGAGGGATTCTGGGAACAGCAGAGATGTGTTTTCTGCAGCTGTTTCTGATGCTGTCTGCAGACACACACACACACACACACACACACACACACACACACTGAAGATCAGGTTTGCTGGGGATTGCATGCAGTGTTTTGGATGCTACCTTTGCTTGTTGAGGATTTTCTCGAGTTTGGCGTCCTCCGCGGACTGTAATGCAGATGCGGCTGTTACGGGACAGGTGTTGGACAGGTACTGGACCAGCAGCCCGTGCTGACCGGGCCGAAACACTCGACCTTTGCCCTGACTGTACAGCCATTCCCCTTTCAGCCTGCAAACATTGAGGAATGTTGTCATGAGTAACGTTGTCTGGTTAGTTCACCCGGAGATTGAAGTTCTGTCATTAATGACTCTCCCTCATGGCGTTCCTAACCCTTTCATTCATCTATAGACCTCAAAGATATTTTTAATGAAGTCTGAGAGCTTTCTGTCGCTCCACTGACAGTCTACGCAACTACCACTGTTCATAAAGAGAGCGTTAAACTAATCTTTATGAATTAAGCACATTTTCTGAAGAGACACGATTGCTTATATGATGAATAGATTTAATTTAGGCTTTTATTCACATATAACATTCAGGATAATGTACACTACTGGAACTGCTGTGTGTGTGTGTGTGTGTGTGTGTGTGTTTATAAGTGTTTCAGTCCTGGTCCTGATGCTCGAGCGCTGACACAGTTCAGATCACAGAGCTCTTTCCTCATTGAGCTGATGATCTGAATCCAGTGTGTTTCATGAGCGAGACGTACAGAACGAACATGGAGGAACCCCGGACCAGGACTGCACACCCCTGAGTCTCCTCACACTGCGGTCGATGATCTGTGATTTAATGCAGAATGGCGTGTGACAGACACTAGCATCTGTTCAAAATGGTGTGTATTGCAACAGTAAAAACCAGATTCACACACAGACTGAAACTCTATTAGTGGAAAACTTGCCCTTCTTTCTGTGAGACGCTGAACCCGTCCAGCACCCGCAGCTGCAGACACCAGCTGACCACGTACGGGCGGTAGTCACAGGCGGGCAGAGCTGGCGTGGGCATCACACACGGGTTACCGGCGATGGAGAGCTGCTCCAGGGTGTGTAGCGGCGCTAAATACGACACCTGCAATTCACACACACACACACACATGCTAACCCAGGCTATACGACACCTGCAGTCCACACACAACCGTTTGTGTGTGTGTGTGTGTGGTGTACAATAGTGTGTGTGCTGTATCATCGTGTGTGCTGTACAGTAGTGTACGTGTGGTGTACAGTAGTGTGTGTGTGTGTGTGTGTGTGTACCTCAGTGAGGTCTCGGATCTCGTTCTCTGCCAGCGACAGCACCGTGAGGCTCGAGGGCAGGTGAGCGGGAACGCAGCGTAGAGTCGTGATGATGTTTCCATGCAGAAGAAGAGTCTGAGACAGGGACACATCCGTCTTAGCAGAAACATTCGCGCGTCACATGACACTCATCTCTCGACACACGGCTCATACCTTCAGCGCCGAGAGCTTGGTGAGGTCTCCTATGTGAGAGATGTTGTTGTCTGACAGATCCAGATGCTGAAGAGAAACGCAGCTGTGCAGCTGCTCGATGACCTGCACAAACACACACATGCTGACTCTGACGAGGACACCAAGATTCAGCCTCATTTTCTATCTAACTAACGGAAGTACCTTAATGTTGTTTCCGGCCAGATTGAGCCACTGGAGGAGCGGCAGGTCCTTCAGGCCCTCGATGTATCCGATGCTGTTGTTCGGGAGGTTGAGAACGCGTAAATTATTGAGCTTCGAGACGGCCATCATGCGTACCAGCCGGTTGGAGGCCACAGACAGCTGTCAACACACACACACACACACACAGGAGGTCAAACAAACACACACACACACACACACACACACACACACCTGACCCACGGGCGGGAGGGTTAGTGTAAACACACACACACACACACCTGACCCACGGGCGGGAGGGTTAGTGTAAACACACACACACACACACACACACCTGCTGAAGGGCCTCAGCGCGCTCCAGGTGCTCCAGCTTGATGATGTGGTTCTGGTCCAGAATAAGAGTGTGAGTCTCTCCACTGAACAACTTCGGATCCAGTTTGTGGAGATTCTGCTTAGAAAGGTCTAATAAACCAGGACCTTAATAATCACAGAACAACACAGTGAAACTCATTCTGTTCGAACAACACAGTTTCAATGTAAAGCCAAGGTTAAATAAAATCTTCAGAGGTTTAATTAATATCAAGTTTATTAACCTAAGAGATAACTGAAATCTGAAGCTGATGGCGACAAAAATAATCGCCAAAATCGCTACATCCAGTGCAACTAATTTAAATAAACCCCATCCTATCAGATGTGTTATTAACATCAGATATGTGGATGAAATCCTGTCAGTGTAAAAACAGCAGATTTCAGATTTCTGCACATTATGACAGAAACTCATCAGACGTCCAGTTCGTCACGAGCGCCACACGCTGCATGTTAAACATGTACTGCATGTACAATGGACATACAACACAATATCTATCTAACCAACAGTACCGAATAATATTTTTAATTTAATCTATTTCGTATACCTTGGTAATTATCCATTTGCTCCCCGGGATGGCGAATCTGCTCGTCACTCGCCGCCATACTTCCCGCTTGAGTCAGCCAGGCAACCGATACTCTATTTCATTGGATAAACGAATCTGGAAATAATAATAATTTTAAGTATTTTTATAAGATATATGGTTGTAATTATATATCAAATTTATGTTTACTTCGAAAAAATCTTTTGCATTTGTGAAATAAGCTCCTTTATAAACCGCTTACCCACAATTCCTTTTCCTCTTCCCTATCTGAAACGCCGCCATGAAGTGAGTACAGTCTGTGTTCATCCTTAAACATCCTAAAGATTATCGTGTAAAATTGCACTTAAAAAAGTTCATAGCTTAACGGTAAATAAAATTAATCTGTAATAACTCTCATTTCTGATCTGCAGGGTCGAGCTGTGCAGTTTTAGTGGATATAAAATCTATCCCGGTCATGGCCGGCGCTACGCCAGGATCGATGGAAAGGTAAAAGCACAAACTACGAGAATTTGACTTTATTCAGTGACTTTTAGCATCTCGTGATGTGAACATGTATCATGTAAGTCCGACAGGCTGCGGTTTGTTTATTCAGACTAGTACTGGCCGGTTAGTTAGCTTAAGTGCTAGCCAGAGCTAATGATCGGGTAGTCACTATGAACACGGTGTGTGTGTGTGAGAGAGTGAGTGAGAAAAACAGTGTGTGTGAGTTGGTTTGAGCAGGCTTTAGGACTAAAAACGTAAGAGAAGGTTCTCGATGCTGTGGGAAACATCGTCTATTATTTATAGTTATGGTCGTTACTGAACTTAATAAATGTGACGTCAGGTCTCAGTATTAGTGATGTCATGCTCCTGTAAACCTCTTTCTGCAGGTCTTCCAGTTCCTGAATGCTAAATGTGAGTCTGCGTTCCTGTCCAAGAGGAATCCTAGACAGATCAACTGGACCGTTCTGTACCGGCGCAAACACAAGAAGGGCCAGTCTGTGAGTTTGACCCCGCCAGCTCTCCGTATATTAACACACCCCGATATCCCCAACCTGTGTCTGTGTAACCGTAGCGTTAAAAACAGTAGGATACTGACACCATGACTTCGATACGGGTTCCTGAACAATACTCTTATAGATGCCAATTTTATGAGCAGATGTTATTATAGCAGATGCTGTAACATTGATGTGAAGAGTGCTCAAGCTTTACACGTGTACATTTATTCATTTAGTTGATGCTTTTAACCACAGCGACTTACAACTGCTATATATGTGTTTCAGAGGTCGCACGCCTCTGGAGCAGCTAGGGCTTAAGTGTCTTGCTCAGGGACACATTGGTGTCTCACAGTGGATTCGACTAAGGCAGTTTCGTATAGCAAACGTCTTATCCACTGCGTTATCACCCCCGTAACGTCACAACAGTTTCTCTGTTGTTGTTTGTTTTTGTTTTGCTTTGTTCTGTTTGGATTTTTCTGGATGGTTAAATTAATTTTATTAATCAAAAAGTATGTGTAATTAATATCATGAAATATTCAATTCAACAACGGGTTGGTAACAGTTTAACAAATTATATTCTTAATGTTTTTATTAATTTAAAAAAATATATTCTTATTTTATTGTATTTGTTTTCTCAAAACCTTTCTAGTTAAAGGTACAATATGTATGATTTTTGTAATACAAAAATCAGTTTGCACAGTGTCGTATTTCCTGCAGTTGTGTTCTTACAATATCCAAAAAAGTCTCCAAAGATTTTTTTTTTTATTTCAGAGAAATTCCAAATTTGAATTAGTGTCTGTTCTGGAAAAAAGTCGCCTGTCAATTACGCAATAGCCGCGCTATCCTCGGTTTCCGTTCGTATTAGCATAGCCATGGCGTAAACGTGGCGACAGATGTGGACAACTGCGTAGTGTGTGACGTTTAGCGGCACACAGTTCTCGTTTCTCTCAAACATAGACCATGTCGAGAGCAGAGGTGTCTAGTGTGTGTGTGTGTGTGTGTGTTTGCCCTGTCAGGAATAGGTGTCTAATCTTTGTGTGTGTGTGTTTGCCCCATCAGGAAGAGGTATCTAAGAAGCGCACGCGGCGCGCGGTGAAGTTCCAGCGGGCGATCACCGGTGCGTCTCTGGCCGAGATCCTGGCCAAGAGGAACCAGAAGCCGGAAGTGCGTAAAGCGCAGAGAGAGCAAGCGATCAGGTGACCGGCCCTAACACTGCATTGACACCCGTCATGGTTTAACCTTAATCGCACAATGTTCTGTATGATTGACAGGTCAAAATTAATTTTCAAATCCATACTTTAGTCCAGAAGCCCTTGATTAGCTTAGGGAACAGGGATGTGCGCTGAGGATGTGACACTGCATTTTGCTTTTGAATTAGTGGCGATTTGGGGCGTCATTTGCTTGAATTATTATTCTTAATGAAAAACCCACCCAACAAAACAGTACAATGACAAACTTATTTAATTTAAATCTAGAACTTTTATTAACAGAACTTGGATGTGTCTTACGCCGTGTGTGTATTAGGGCTGTCAACTTTAGTCATTTAGTCGACTAATCGGTCGATGGCGTCAGGGTCGACTGACGTTCTTATTGGTCGCCCAGTTGCTTTTTTTTTTTTTTTTTGAGGCGGAAGATGTACTTTCACATCGAAATCTAAAAAGCAGCTATTTGGCAATATTTTAGATTTAAACCCAATTCTTAAGACAAACGTGTATGAACGCGATCCGACTCCTCGTTCAGGAGACGAGGTTCATCTTCTAATTGTAGTGTTCTCTAACAGACCTAAAAGCTGTTCATCAAGTGTAGTGTATTAAGTGGGAGCCACAGGTGTTCGATGCCCTAACCCTCACCGCCGCTGAGCTTGAACAGGTGTTCGATGACCTAACCTTCCAGTGTGAACCGATTATTGTCCCGAACTGACTCGCATGCGCTACAGATTGAGGACTCGCGCAGCACAGTCATACAGAAGTACACGTTAAAGTAAGAGATCTCGTGTTTACAGTGTGAAGTCAGTGTGATCTGCCGCCTGTGAGTTTATAAAACAAGCTCTTTCTCACGCAGGGCTGTGATTGGCTGAAACCGAGTGTTGCTATGTGCTAACTGTACTCTGGATCTGGTGTTTCAGGGCTGCTAAAGAGGCCAAGAAGGCGAAGCAAGTGACGAAGAAGCCGTCGGCTCAGAGCACCAAGGTTAGATCTGCTTTATTCTGCCGTCCTCAGCTCCTGTCCTGGGTTAGACTGGGATAAACCTGTTGCTTTATCTTTTGCCCCTTGAGGCGTTGCAGTGTGACTGATTCTGTCGCTTCTGTGTCATAAGGTGGCATAGAGCAGAGGGACTATGTCTACACCTCGTACTCTCTTCATGGGTGCTCAGTGTCATTTATAGTCCTACACTTAATCATGACCTCTAACCCTGATTAACTCCTCGAAGTCCTGCAAGCGGTCAGTAACGTGTCGGTCTTGTTTTCAGGCCCCAGCTAAGAACGCCCCGAAGCAGAAGATCGCCAAGCCAATGAAGGTCAACGCTCCTCGCGTCGGCGGCAAGCGCTAAACTCTTGCTTTGAGGATTAATAAAGGTTTCGCCATCAACCTCGAGTCTCCTTGAATTATTTCATTGTTTAGTCATAATCAGTGACATTAACTTTGCGTAATGTTATTGATATTTTGATTTTAAAATGTTTGAACGGATGCCCATTTTTGCTGCAAGTTTTTTAAAATAATTTTTTATATATATATAAATATATATTTTGCAGAACCCTGCCATATCTGTTTCAGTCTTTGATTTAAAGGCCCCATTGACACTGCATGGTTCAAGTGACCCAAATCCGATTTTTCCCTCTCCTGTATTTTCAATGTTTGGCTATCAGTGTTTTTCTCTTCTCCGTAAATAAATCTTGTAGCAGAGCTACAGCAAGCGTTTTTTGGTGGTCAAAGTCTATTAGCTACTTAAACTTCTTTGTCATTGTGGAGAGCGCAGTGGATGCTCAGCAATGACAGACGCCACGGGAAAATCGGACCAAATTTTACTATTATTAATAAGAGATAAGCTAATGTGCATTAATGTAAATGTCAATAATTTTTTTTCTGACTCAATCTTTTAAGGCTTAAATGTGAGGTTTGCCTTTTTGTAAAACCTTTTTTGTGTGTGTGTGTGTGTGAGAACTGATTTAAAGGCTGAAACATATTTAGTAAACGTGTCCAGGCCGGGAATGGCAGGTGTTGGTGACAATGCAAGTTTCTGGATATTTTCCGTGGGGCGAGGGCTTCGATTACCTCTCCCTTTTTTGACCATACATGTGTTTGCATCCCTGCAACTTTTTCTGTCAGGCTTTGATCCTGAGTTTAGGTGTGACATCAGTAGCGAACAGCCAATCACATGCTGAGACTGAAACTCATTCAAAGCAGCGCAATTCTCTTATTTATGAAAATCAAGATTTTAACTAACAACTCTTCAGACAAATCTTAATAGTTGCCCAAATGTCATTTCAGTGTTTGCCCTTGTCCTGGCTTGAGCTGCTTTGCAACAGGTTTGGGTCAGGGAATGGCGTCAGACATAGCCCTGTCGCCGAGCAGGATCCCGTCGTAAGCACCTTGAAAGTGTTGTTAGGCTCAGAATGGAGTATGGACTGGAGAAGGTGACGGACAACGCGAAATGTTGTCGAAATCTCACTCGCACGCATACCGGACCGGTATGTGAATCCCTGGTCATAGAAATTTTTTTTTTTTTTTTACAAAATTTACGGAATTTACAGTATAATGCAGCTGTCACGTAAAACACAAACTATATGGGTGAATACATCGAAAGGAAAGATGTACAATAAATCAAATCGCGACATGATCTGTGAATATTAAAGCACAAAAGACTGCTATGTAAATATAGTTTACTTTCACCAGCTTTAGGCCTGCAGTTTATTGGTGATGAACACTTTGCCACGTTGTGTATGTAATTTTGACAGTGAAGAAGCAACACAGTTTTTCATTTACTCCGTTTTAGAGTTGTTGTTTTTTTAAAGCTTCGCAGGACTGTGAAGACATTCGTTACATGTATTTTCAGAACTTCAGCATGAACTAAACATTGATCAGTAAATGAACATATTCCAGTTGTTG